GCTCGCCAGCGGATCCCGCCGAGTCTCGCCAGAGCAGCCACTAAATCCGGGCCCGCCAGAGCTGCTCGCCAGTGGATCCCGCCCAGTATCCCGCCAGAGCAGTTCGCCAGTGGATCCTGCCGAGTATCTTGCCAGTGGATTCCGCCGAAAAGCCCGCCGAGTATCCCGCCAGAGCGGCTCGCCAGTGGATCCCGCCGAGTATCCCACCAGAGCAGCCGAGCAGCCCACCAGAGCAGCCCGGATCCCGCCGAGTATCCCGATCCTGCCAAGTATGCGGCGAGTATCGAGCCGGAGCGGCTCGCCAGTATTTGCCAGTGGATCCCGCCAGTACGGAGCAGCTTGCCAGTCTGGTTTTGCTTAATGTCCCGCCCGGCGCACAGTTGGGTTTACATTTCATGTTGCTGCCTTCGTGCTTTGAGTGTGCCCCGAGGCTCGGAAAGGGTGCTGGTGCTGTCTCGCGCTTGCTTCACAAATGCTTCGTGGAGGGAAAAAGAACGCATCCTGCAGCGTTGGGCCGACCTCGCTTGCGATGTTATGCTTTCGGGCCAACCGTGGTCTAGTTTGTTTGTTTGTGTGTCTGTTATTTTGCTGATTGTTCTTGATTGCTGTTTGTTTGCTTGGTTGGTTGGTCTTCTGTTTGATTGCTTGTTCGCGCGTTCTTCTGTTAATTTGATTGTTGGTTGGTTTGTTTGCTTCTTTGATGAAATGGATGTGGCTTCTTTGTTTGTTGTTTGTGTGCGTGTTTGTTCATTGTGTTTCATTGCTTTGTTGGTGTTGTTCTTCTTTGTGCGTGTTGGTTTGTTTGTTTGCTTGTGTGGTTGGTTGATTGTTTGTTCGTTCGTTCGTTCATTTGTTTGTTCGAGTTTTTGTTTGTTCATTCGTTTGTTTGCTTGTTTGTTTGCTTGCTTGCTTGCTTGCTTGCTTGCTTGTTTGTTTGTTTGTTTGTTTGCTTGCCTCTTTGTTCGTTGGATTGTTTGTTTGTTGGTTGGTTGGTTAGTTTGTTGTGTGTTTGTTTGTTGTTTGTTTGTTTGTTTGGACAGAGGACTCGGGATCTACTTCTCAACCTTCCGGAATCCAGAAAGCCTGGAACGCAGCAAGTGGTCGCGTTTTATTCTTTGTTTCATGCATTTCCATCTGTGCCCACCGGTGATCAACGGAAAGAGTCTTCAACCCCAAGCCTGGGCATGCGCTCCCGTTCCGGGACCCCACGCGTATCCGGCGACCTTCGGCTTCTCAGCCTCAAACTTGTCCCGGCGCCGAACCGGTCGAACGGTTCGGTGGGACCCGAAAACAGGCACGCAACCACCGGAGCACTACACCTGAAAGGAGGCAACTGACCATAGGTGTCCTTTTGGACAAATAGATGGGTGGCCCTGGGAAATGATCAGAAAAAAGTCATCCAAACCAGTGCTCCTACATTTTTTTTAACCACACTAACCTAAAAAGGACACCTATGGGCTTAATAACACATGGTTGAGCTTCGGGTCTTCCATGCAGCTGCATGCCGACTTCGGTCGGGCCTGGCCTGAAGAAGAGCCTTCTGGGAGATTGGCCCTTCCCGGATTTTTCGGCTCACCAAATTGGAACATGGATTGCTCCAAATGGACCTCCCACTCCAATTCCATTTTAAATCTGGTATATGAAATGCAGGGATGAGGGCCAGCCGATTCCGCCAGTTGCGCAAGGGCTGAAGAATGATCGGCTGAACGGCGATGTCAAAGCCACTCGAAAACAAGGACATCTGAGGGTGGGTGCACACATGTTGGACAACTTCACAATGGATTGATTTTCCAAGCAAGGATATCATGCAATAACAACCAAACCAGCCGAAGGTAACAATGCCTCTCCCCACCAAGGTGACCGTAACTTGCAGAGTGTGTGCAAACGGGACTTTCTGTGCAGAGCCCTGCTTGCTCCGATACACGCAAAGCAATCCACGATGGTGACTCGACGGAATACGCGATAAGCTTTTGCCCATCTGTGGGGCACGTTTGAGTAGCAACCTCTCATTGCCGCCCTTTCACAGGAGCATTTCAAGGACTCACACAAGTAGCATGCAAATCAAGGGACTGCTTTGAAGTGGGTTTCTACAATTCCAGGGTCCCTTTTCTCACTCCCTGCGTGGATTGGAGAAATCACCAAGCCCAAACTCTGCATGATTGAAAGAAAAGAAGAAAAAACACATCTCTTCCACTGCTTCTCAATTCCGGTAGCTGGGGTGAGAACTGGGGTCTGGGTCAGAATCGGCTCCCCCGGCAAAAAAAACAAAAAACGTGGACCCCCAACACAACTCGGTGACGTCTCTTGGCTTCCCTTGACAAAACCGAGGCCCTCGATTCCTTTCTGGCAAGCGAGGCCCGCACCAGCGCTCGCACCTCGTGAGGCGCCCATTCGCTTCAGTCTGATCCCCCTTTTCTTTGGGGTAGAAACCCGCGACCCTGTGGCGTCATGATCCAAAGCCCGGTACTCAAATGGTCCACCCAGAATCATGTAAAGAACCAAGAAGGCGGATATCCTTCGCCCATTTTGGGGTTGGGACTGTCCCTGACCTTCACTTACCCGGGTTTTGATTGTGACGCACCTGGTACTAAGCTTGTGGGTGCTCAGGGAATGAGACATGCCACTCCAAGGAAGCCACCTGGATGGCTGAAGGAGAGGTTCATTCCATTTCGCACTCCCTGCTCGAACCAGCGGCTGTAAAAATGGCGTGACCAATGAAGAGACGCTTTGACTGCGACCGCCCTGTTGGTTGGGGGTTGTGTTTTGCCAACCTTCATCTACCCGGGCTCATTTGCTGTTCTGTCTGGAACAAATTAGAACATATGAAGATTCCGGTGAAAGATTCTCGCCAAAATCTGCAAATGGAAGGTCTGCGAGAAAAAGGGAACCCTGTTTTCAGGTTGGTGAAATGGAACAGAGGATTTAGAGGATACCACGGACAAACTTGGGGCATGCAGGAAAGGGGTGCGCATGTTCTCCCCTAGTGGATCTTCCCAGTTTGCCTCAAGGCCAGTGGCCAGGCGTGCGATAACTCGCTTTCAAAAAACAAGCGACTTGACGATCTGGGCTTTAAATTTTCCCTTGCGGCCCATCGTCGTGGCCCCCCCCCCCGTCAAAAAAAAGAAAATGGGAGGGGGAGGGGGAGGGGGGGGGGGGGCCTATTTGTGCCCGTCCAGCAGTGAAATCGATTCCCTCAAATGTTGTTTTTTTACAGCAACAAGGGAAAATAAGACTGAACAAATACACCAGCATAGACCCCAAATAGCCAAAACGCCAGCACCCCAAGAAAGCACCTGCACCAGCACCCCAAACTGCACACCACCCTTCGGTCAATCTTACAAAACTGCGCCCGCACTGTCACCTGCATGCATGCCCCCTAGCACCCGCTCATCTATACTGCGCCCGCACCGTCACCAGCACCTCAAACAACACCCCAAACAGCACGCCAAAACACACGCTCACCCTGCCATCAATCTTGCAAAACACCACAAACAGCTTCCGCAACAGCGCACCCTAACAGCATCTGCGCCAGCACCCCAACTGCGCCAGCACCCAGCCGTCAAGCTCGCAAAGCACTTTCCCGCTTTGTTAGAAGTTAGAACCCCTATAGCTTTCAGCTCTCTGGGGGGGAGAAAAAAAAGAACCCCTATGGCTTTCAGCTTATCCGAGAAGAAGAAAAACCTCTGAACCAAAAAAAAAACTCTGAAAAAGAAAGAAAGAAAGAAAGAAACAAACAAAAAGAAGCCGGTGGGCTTTTTTTTCGACGTCTCTCCGCGTTCGCGCAGCGCAGCTCCAAGGCCTGCTCGGCCTTGGAGGCGCTCAGGCTGGAGGCCAGCTGAAGCAGAGCCTCCCAGTCCGGCCACGCGGAACGAAGTCTCGAGGGATTCTTCGACGCCAGCCCGACGGATCCCAAGCAGCCAGTTTTACCACATACTGTGGATGGTTGCGAAATCCCATGTCCTGCACCACTTTGAAACCAAGGGAAACCAGAAGGTTTGTTGGTATTTACGTAGGGGAATCGAATCATTCCAGGGTTTCTTGGGTGGTGCGAAATGGAGTTCGTCCGTCCGCAGTATTCCCTTTAAATTTGCGTCGTATCAAACGAACCCTTCCGCGAAACTTCCGCGCGGTGAAGGGGACCTTCCGCGAGCATGTTTCTACATAAGTGGGTAGAACTGCTTCCGCGGCCCTTCCGCAGGCAAGTTGCTTCTGGAAACTGAGGAAGGTAGCTTCCGCGAGGGAATTCGTGTACGGTTTGCTAGTAAACGTGCTTGGCAACAACCACCCAACCGCAATCACACTACTATGTGCAAATCAAAAGGGTCTCTTCCGCGAGCTTCCGCGGGAAAAAACCTTCCGCAAACCTTCCGCGACTGCAGTGCGGCGCCACATTTTTTGTTGATATGTCAACATCTATACATGTTTGCTTGAGCGGAAAAATAAACCTAGGGGAAGAAACAACAAATATGTCCGGCAGTGATAGATTCCCTTTAAAACCAACAAGGGAAAATAAAAAAACAGAAAGATTCTTAAGCAAATGGAAGCCAGGGTTTTTTTTTCCAAAAGCGACCTGTCCAAAAGGGCTCATGGAACAAAAGCACCGTTGCAAAAGGCTTGCTCAAAATGGCAAGTGTTGCTTGGACGTTTGGACCCTCCTTATGCAAGTGACGGTCATAGCTCTGCCAGGAGTCCGTACACATTCGTGAACATCCATGGGGATGACGCCAGCGCTGCTCGCACAGGAAAAGATGGCAATGGCGGAACCTCGTCGTCCTTGTTTTGTCTTAAAGGTGCTCAGATTTCTCTGGAACGCAGCAAGCATTCTGCGGGATATGTTGTTAACCTACCATTGGTCACAGTAGGAGTGCCCCACCCACAGTTCGCAGCACAAATCAAAACATGCAAACATCCCAGCAGATAAATCACAGCGGAGAATTCAGACTCAGTGATCAAACACCACCGCCTTGCCTCGACACTTGGGCCGATGGTTTTGTTGAGGCTATCCTCTTTTGGATTGAAACGAAACTGCAAGGAAACTACAATTTTGTTCCACGCCACAAGTCCCCTGGAAGAAAGAGACATACTTGCAGTAATGGGATGGTCTTTACTCGGCTGCTTTCTGCCCCCCTGCCAAAAAAATAACCTCTAGTGGTGTAATATTATTGTCCTAAGATCCAAGCAAACCACACCAAAGCTTAAAACAAGCAGGGGGGAGAGAAACCAACTCTTCAGCCTCCGGTTCTGAACTTAGCTCCCCGGAACCTGAAGCCCTTCCAGCCTCCGCCTGCGGCCGGCTGTAGTCCTGGCCGAAAAGAGGCCACGCGTTGGGCGGGGGGCGCTGAGGCCTTCTGCGCCGCCGTACCAAAGCGGCAAAGGTGGAAAGGGCCCATCAAATGCCGGTCCTTCACGAAAATGTTTGGCCAGGGGGCAAAATCCAAATCGTATTTCCAGTGAACATCCCAATCCCCATTGAAATAGACTAAAATGGGTGGTGCACCTACACCAAAATGGCACCATGGGTTTTGACCCACAGCCATTTCACCATACCCCCACCCCCCCACCAAATGCATCCAGTCTGCGGTTTGCCACGCGGCCTGAAGCCAAAACCCTCCCCGTGTCCTGGTGCAAACCATCCCAAGGCTCTCATCCTTGAAAGGGTCCAACATGGCCCTACAAATCAGAACCTTCATTGTGTTTCAGGCTCGTTTCACCCCCGGGTCGCCATAGAGAGCCACCTCAAACGTGGTTTGTTTCATGAGTCCCCGTTCTTTGATGTCCATGAAAGGGACCCAGGCAAAAACAAATGACGCCCATATGAACCGTTGGAACTGCCCTTCTAAAATCAGTACAACAAGACCGTGTGGGTGTCTTCTTTAGGGAACTTCCAAAAGAAGCACCCTCTTGTTTTTTAGGGAACCTCCCAAAAAGGTGGTTTTCCTGTTGGTGTCCCACCCCGGGAATAACACCATGGCCTGCTTGCCGAGGGTCTCCAGTGCCCGGCCGATGGCGCTCACCGACTCCGTGTAGTCCTCGCACGAACCGACTCCGACAGAAAACGAGCCCGGGCGCTGCGCAAATCTTGCCTGGAATCAGGACCCCCGCAAAGAACTATATCTTTTTGCATGGTTCGTGGAAACCAATGGGGACCCCAAAAAACAGCGGAAAAAAAGGGGAGCTGATTCTGGAGAAGAAATGGGGCGGGTTCTTGTTTGAGGGTACCTGTTTTGAGGTTGGTTTGAAGGGAAACTCAAGGGAAAAACCCACCATGTGGGGGCCAGGCAGGGGCGGGGGGGATTAACTTTTAAAGAACAACCAAAGGGAACCAAAAACCTGTTCTTTCTTTTTTTGAGGGGGGGGTGTCCGAGTCTGGGGGGTTCCGATTCCTTTTTGAAGACGCGCCCAAATGGGTAGAAAGACCTGGCAGAAAAGCATGCTCCTGTTTGCAAGATGTCAGGTTCAATGTGGGGGTTGTCTCAAAACAAGGTGGACCTCAAAATGACTTTGGCGCCCAGTTTCCCTTTAGACAATCCCATTTGGTGGCGAAAACGCTGGCATGTGGCAACGCATTGTCAAAGGACCCTGGTGCCTTCTCGAGCGAAGCCCTTGAAGCGCCTGGAGATCTTAGCCTGTTTGTTTGTGGAACAGGGTGCCTACACCCAATGAGACCATCCTGTGCATGTAACCGCACATGTTTGCTTGATTTTGCTCGAGAAAGAGAGAGAGAGAGAGAGAGAGAGAGAGAGAGAGCGAGAGATGTCACCACTCCTAGGCACTTCACCTGTTCAAGTACCAACCCTCAAATGAGCCCAAGGAGTGTCCCTAGTAATTTGCAGATTAGATGGGACACACTGTCAGAATGGTTGGACGTTCACCCCAAAATGACTCCAAAATGGTCCCCAATCGAAACTAATGTATTAATGCTTGATTGGCGTTTGCGAGGGCCCTGGCTGGATTGGAGCTACTGAACCATAACAAAGGCCTGGGGATAGGGGCTTGGCGGCTTGACCCAACGAGGTGCTACTCGAGACTGAGTGAATTACATAGACCGCGATGAGTCGCTACATTTGCAGTCTTCACGGTGGAGGTGCCCCCTAAGGTGCCTTCTTGCCAGCTTCCATTTGCTTTTCCGCCCAGGAAAGTCACAATATGTTTGTGGTTCGATTCGCTGCAAAACTAACTGGGGAACAAACAATATGCTTAAGCAAATGGAAGCCACAGGGCCCCTGTGGGGACCCTGAGCGTGGATTTTTGCGCGAGACGCACCACACACGAAACTTAGCTTTTCTCGGAGCTGGAGTCCAATCCCAGCCTACGCAAATGCGCTGAAGATTCCCACCAAGCCGGCGCCGAAGAAAATGTTCCCTGCGCACGCGACTCCGACCTTGGGCTCCGCCGCGTAGAAGCCCGGGCGGAAGAGGTGCACCAGGCCGTCGATCGTCTGGGCGGTGCCCAGGGCCAGAGCGATGCCGCGCACACGCGCCTCCCCGGTCTTCCAGCCCAACAGCGCGCCCAGCAGCGGCGTCGTGGCCGCGGCGATGCCCAGAGACAGCACCAGCGCGCCCGCTTTGGCGCCGCTCCCCCCGTCAGCCACCAGCGGGCCGACCAGCTTGACGGCGGGGATGGCTGCGGCCCAGGCGGCAGCGCCTGCTGCCACGGCTTTCAGGTCTTCGTCCATGGAGCGGGTCTGAGCAGGAAGATTGAGAGTGACTGCTGGAGCCAACTGGAAGGTGAGCGAGTGTCTATTTTTGCCACAACCATGGGGGTTGATTTGCATTCGCCGAGGTCTGCCTGCAAAAGCTTGCGGGGTGATGGCCGGCTCCAGTATAGAGGAAGGGTATCTGCATAACATAAGGTGCTTGACAGCGTCTGCCTGCCCTTCCTTGTTTGCCCTGCCCTGTTTGCCCTGGCCGTTAGGAGTGTCACATCCATTCTCATGACTATTATGTAAAGGGGATTCTCATGGTATCACAGACAGTTGTCCCTATAAAACCCGATTGTGCCACGACAATGTCAACCCTCCGATCTCAGAAAAATAAGACTCACTTCCTGAGCGCATTGCCGCGGCCGAGCCTCTCGCTTGCCATCAACCTGGTTCTCCCCGAACGCAGAAAGACCAGGTGCTCAGGAGCTAGTAAAAGGCGAGAAAACCAGCGTCCCCTTTTCTTGGGGGGTGCCCATTGTTGGGTTTGTGAGTTGTTTCAAGGGGACAAAATCCCAAAGCGACCCCCCCGGTAGTTCTTTTTGTGGGCTCCCGGCGTTGAGACACCTCCAAACCAAAACGAGCGCTATCGGACTCCTTGAGCTCCGCGGCGTAGGTGCCCGCTTCTTCCTCCCGGACCTGCGGGCTCATCGATCCGCGTCTTTTTCTTGTGGGTATCGTGGAAAAGGGAAAACACCAAGGGAGAATCAGCCATTTTCAAGATTCCACTTGGAGAACCGCCCGAGTTTCTGAGTGGTTCCTTCATCCATTGCTGAAGGTCGTATCAACTTTTGGGGCGCGCATGCGCGCGAAGGCGCAATATTCGATTGCGTTTTCCACATATTCGCCTTGCCCAAAGGCGTACAGGTACAGAGCGGCCTTTCGGTGCTACGTGTCCAAAACGCTTCTAAACTCTGTCTAAACCTCCGTTTACTTTTCCGCCCCCCGGACAAAATGAACAAAGAATCCAATTGTGATAGATTCCCTTCAGTACCAAAGAAGAAAACAAACATATATTCATTTCAGCAAATGGAAGTAAAAGTCTCAGGGTGTGCCTGTGAACCGCCCAGTGACGCAGCACCTGTGGGAATGGTAGCTGGATCAATTTCCTCAAGGAACGCCATCTGAGATACCAGGTGGTCAAGGAAGTGTTGATCCAAAAAATCGGAATGCGGGAACATGTGTCCAAGGAATCTAAGAGTCGGAAAACCCTAAATGGGTGTCTTTTTTGTAGAATTACTCTCTGTTGATCGGTCTGAAAGGGACATCAACAGGAAAACCAAATTATTCTTTCTCTGGGGGTGGTCTACAGGGAAATCAACAGGAACACTAAAATTCTAGGGGGCGTCAAAAACAAAGCAACAAAATGCTAAGCACACTGTAAGACCAGGGCCCAGCGGGGGGGTTCCCACTCGCTTTTTCGGGGCGTTCATCCCCCTAAAACAAATAAATGTACCAACATGGCACCTTGGTAACTGGGACCAACGGCTCTTTTCACCTGCGCAACCCTAGTTTCCTCATTTTGAGCCACACCCACATTGGAAGACTTCACCCCAACTCCCCGCGCTCCTCGGCCCTCGCCTGGATGGCCTTGGCCTGTTCGGAGGACAGCTTCTCCACCTCCGCGCTGCCCTCCTCGATCTCCTGAGCCAACCATTTGGGGCCGATGGCGGGGGGGCGGGGGGGGTGCATTGGGGGACCCCAGAGGGTGGGCTCTGTGGAGGACCCCAACTCAGATGCTCAGTGGATGTCCGGGAAAAGAAGAATCGGCATCCTTCTTTTTGGGGTTGGTTGAGTTTAAAGGGAACCCTTCCCCAAAAAAAGGGGGAAAAAAGGGCACAACTGGGCAACTGGTCTCGGTCAAAAGAGGCAACCCACAAACCCTTGGTGAAACAATTTGGCCGCTGTAACGAGACAATAGCAATCAAGCTATCCTTCCAGTCCCACCATATTAGTCAAAGTCAAATTATTAGGGGACCGCAGGTTTTAGTCTATGATTACACTTACTAGAGTTCCATGTTGGTTAGGGACCCTTTGGTGGACATCATTTGTTTTGGTGTTGTTCTTGGATTTGTTTTTAAGGGGACCCCTTAAATGGCTCGGTTTGCATTGAAAACCACTTTAAATAACTTGGCTGCTGTTGACCCCTCTGCAAAAAGTGAATAACTGTTTGTGGGCTCAATAGAAAACCAAAATGTGTTCAACCAAAAAGTTAAGTCTAAGATCCAACCCAGTCGCAATCTAAATAAGGGATACGGGATAAGGGACCCTTTGGTGGACATTAAGGGACTTCATGCCCAACCACTTTTGAGGTGGCTCCCTATTGAAACTGGTAGCCATTTGGGTTTGTGCTTTGTCGAGATGAGTGGGGTGGATAAAACCCGAAAAATACTGCTTCATTCACCTGCGTGCTTGTGTGTGTTCCTTTCTGCGTGTTTGTATCTTTATATGTTTGTGTGTTCGTGTGCTTGTGCACTTGTGCTCTTGTGCGCTTGTGCACACGTGCACTTGTAAGCAGTGCGCGCGTGCGCGCTGGTGCGCTTGTGCGCTTGCGTGCGCATGCGAGCCTGCGTTTGCGTGTGCGTGCGTGCGCGTGAGAATTGTTGTTTTTCTTTCCCCGGGCCTCACTTTTTGACACATGGCCATTCAAAGGCAAACTCCGCCGGGAAGCCAGATCCCTTTTCGGACACGGCCCACAAGAGAGGAACCTTTGCAGACTGCCCAGCTGGCCATGGGGTTTGAATCCTTGGTACCTGGGCTCTACCCATGAACTGTCCTCAAATATTCAATTGGTTTGGAGGAGATCCCAAAAAAAACAGTCCAAGGATTCCCGTTTTGGGAAGTTGATAAGCCAAGAATAGCAAGCCTCCAGTAAGATAGTTGTTTTTGGGGTCCCGGAAGCGCTCGAGCTCAACCTCCAGAAAAGGGAAAGGCGAACTCAAACTGACCGGAGCTATGGCTTTGCCGACAGCTATGGCATACATCTGGTTCATTTCGACATGCCTTCACATCCTCACAATTGCATTGCCCTCTACACGGGTGTGAGTGTGTGTGCGTGTCTCAAATAGTGTCCTTGACTGCCCTTTCAAGCCCCCCCCCCCAAAAAAAAGAAAGAAAAAGGAACTGGCGTTTGTGTCACAAGGTGTCAAGAACCCTGAGTTTGGCCCAAATCGCGCGAAAACCGTGAATTTGCATGTTCTGGCCCGTCCAGCCCCAAATATCCGACAGTTTTCTCGCTGGTGCTCAGGGAATGAGAAATGGAATGACCCCGGAAAGAACCATCCCCTATGGTTTCCTTCAAGAAAGTCCCAAAAAAACTGCATTCCCTTCCCTACGGTTTCCTTTAAGAAAAAACATCCCCAGGTGAAAATCCACAAACGGCGCATTCCCTCATGCCCTGCCCATTGCGCCTCGGTTGCTTTCTGCTCCCCTGCTAGAAGTTTGACTTTTTGTGGTTTGATGGAAGACCCATTAGTTGGCCAAAAGCTAGAGTCCTAACATCCCTTGGCAAAATGCGCCAAAGGCACCAGCAAGCTTCGGAGGATGTTTCCCCAAAGGCCCTGTTTTTTTGGTTTTTTTTCCGGGTCGCCCCGTATGGTCCTTGGCCAGCACCTCCGCGTCCGTTTGCGCCTTGGAGATGTCGGCGGCCAGAACCTGGCTGCTGAAAACAGGGTGGTGGGGGGGGGGGGGGTGGGCGGGGGAGATGTGCTTGGTTTTTGCTTTGGGGGGGGGGGGGGGGGTTGGGAGGATGGGTGGCCTGGAGGGTAGGGGAGATGAATTTGCTTTTGCCTTGGGGGGGGGGGGGGGGGCGACAAGCCACAAAGCCCAAACATAATACAACGCAAACCAAACACACACTAAATCAACACACAAACAGATTGCTTTGTTTTAAAGGAAACCAACAGGACAACCACCCGCTGTCACCCGTTGTCGGACATTGTCCTTTTCTCGCCACATACTTTCACATGTGCCATGGCTACCACTCCCTACATGGGCTATGCTCATGACTCTTTTAAAAGGACATTTTATCAAGAGTGTCTTGAATCCGTATTATACACGGGGGTGCACAACAGGATAACCATTCTTACAACCCCCCTTGGAAATGGCACACACGGAACCTGACAGGATACAAAAAATGTCTGCCTTCCCCGAGGCTCGTTGGTGCCTCTCAAAACGGGTTGCTGCTTGGTCCAATGCGCAAGATTTAAGTATGTCTTCCGTGTTCTTCTTTCCGGTTTCTCCTGAAACACCATCCCGTCAAAAGGCGGGGACCACTAGGCAACCTCAAAAAATAGAAATACCCTTGTATACCCTTCTCTGTTGCCAAACCGAGCACTCAGTACTCTACGTCTGAAAAACACGGGAACGTCATAGGAACGTGCGCTGAATTGTGCCCAGCAACGATTGAATATTGCACGTCATGCGTGACATGTTCAGGATCCAAGGTTCACCCAATTTGATGTTTTTCAAAAGAAATCCAAAGCTTCGAAGCGCATTGAAACCTCCAGGTGACAAAAGCCAAGATTGCCAAGGACTCTTGGAATTTTGAGATGTACTTGTATGGGCCCATCAATTGTTTCCCGAGAGGACAGAAGAGAGGGCGGGTTCCCTCTAATGTCGCTGCCAAACAAGCCATAGACCTGCTGAAACGTTGACCGAACCTGATATTGGCAGAAACCAAAAAGCTATTGTGGTGTGGTTCTACCAAAATAATACCAAAGGTTTGCATACGTAGGCCGTACTATTATCCCACCCTGTTAAACCAGGTAGTAGAAAGAACCACCTGCTAAAACTAAGAAGAAGAGCAAACGGGTCTTGGGCGGCGCTCAAAGGAGTCACAATCACACCCTGGCGTTAGACTGGTCTCCCAAACAAATGTAAAGAGCAGCCGGTTAGTGGTGGTTGGGATCGTCCCGCCACGAACCTTCAACTACCCGAGTTCGATTGTTGCTCATATGGGGGTGTCTGCTTTGAGGGCACCCCCTTTCTGTGGTTTCAAAGGGAAACCGAAAAGAGAACCACCATTTTGGGGTCTGGTACCCGGAGAAAAAAAAAGGACACCCTCATATGGGCTGCGGGTGAAAAATGTCCTGTTTCATTTTTTGACCCATCCTCCGGACGTCCGGACGTGGCCCGTCGGAGCCCTCAGCTGGCCTCCGCCTTGTCTGCGGCCGCCTGGATGGCCGTCGTCTTCTCCTTTGAGGTGCTCTCGCACCACTGGGCGTACCTCGCCCATCGAGTCAGCGTTCCATCGAATCCGCGCGAGGCGCCAGCTGGGCAAGTTGAAACAAGGAAATCAGTCGGAAATTGTTGGATGTAGTTCACGTCACAAAGCAGAAACAAGGAATCAACAAGCAAAGGTCTACCTTTCTGGGCGAGCTCGTTCAGACCCAAAGCGGAAAAACAGCCAAGGGAAAGCCAGCGGAAAACCAAGGCAACGCCAATATTATAAAAATTCAGAAACAATGGAAAGCCAGGGCATTCAACAAAAGACAAGGGAAACCAAGGGAAACCGCGAAAGAAAACCAGCTTTGCCAAAGTTAAGCTTTCAACCATAGGTGTCCTTTTAGGGGAAGTAGATGGCCCTGGTAGATGAATAAACCACCAGGTAGTAAACCAGGGCCATCTATTTTTTCTAGCAAAACAACCAAAAGGACACCTATGCTTTCAACTGAAAGCACCAGGGGTGCTAAAAGGATTCATCCAAGTGCATGTGTTGCACCCCGGAATTTCAAAATCAATAGATCTCACAGTCATGAGTCATAATGAAAGCAACAAAAACATCACAAGTAATGACATGGACAGTCAACTTTCTACAGACATGCACAACTTCAGAAGACAATCGAAAGACTAAATTAAACACATCCCGTTCACTACACAACTCAATCAAACAGCACTGTTGTGTATTTTTTGAGAACACGACACGATGGAATACCAACTGTTGGCGTATTTTGCAAACATACAACGGCATGTCGTAATATATGCTAGTACATGAATACATTAGTTGAGCATGTTGCAGAGTTCTCGTGTCCGACTTCGTATGTCTTGCCATTTCCCACAAGCCTCAAGCGTTCAAGCGGTCAGAGTGCAACCAGGCTTTGGCCGGGGAATGTTTGAAGGAAGCCACCCACCATTGAGAGCTACCCGCCTGTGAGACCAGGGCAGTGAGACCAGGGCCCTGCTAGCAAGAAGGCCTTTGTAAGACTTCATGGGGTTTAGCAAGGCTTAGACCAAATATCTGGCCAAATTGCTATCCCCCAAAGAAAGCTGCCGAATTGTCATGGGCTCGTGTTACCAATCAGTAGGATCGAAAACAAGCTGCCCAAATCACATCCAAGTTCGAACCAACGTATGCTTTTCAAGCCAATGTCCTTCCGCCCGTCTCCCGTCAACCCAACTTTCGAGCGGGCGCCTAGCGTGCTGCACCTTCTCCTCCTCACGATGCGTTAGGCTTGATCCCCACAAGGAGGCCGCATCAGGCCCTGTCTTCCCATTTCCCATACTTCGCTTGGTAGATAAGCATCATGAAATGCAAGGGGACCCCGTCATGATGTCCATCTGGGGTGCATGACATAGAAGGGTGCTGGCCCGTGAAATCCTCAAAAGCATGATAGGCACTACTATGAACCAACCCCCCAACCCCAAATCACAGCCATTGGGCACCGACCAACCAACCAACCAACCAACCAACCGACCGACCGACCGACCGACCGACCGACCGACCGACCAACCGCCCACCAACCCAACCAACCCAACCAACCCAACCAACCCAACCAACTCAACCAACTAGCCACATGACCAGACTTAAACCCGGCCGGGGCTGGCAAAATCCACACCGCTTCTTTTGGATTCCATACTGAGAACAGTCAAGCCCCAAATTCCGGTGGCCAGGGCCAAAAAAGGGGGGCCTTTGTTTCGCTTAGCTGCGTTCAAAGGTCAAACCTCCAACACAAAAGCAAAAACCCCTCGCTTGCTCGAGCACTGGGTGTCTGGGGATCTGGACCCCAACACCGATTGCTTTACTTTTGGTTTCCGTCGGCCACCCATTTGGGTACCGAGCCTCAAAACCCGAAAAAACGCCCCCAAGTGCTGGGACTTGCGGGCACCGCTCTGGTCGCTCCTGTAGCTCCGCCTTGCCCTTCTCGGACATGGCGCCCAGCATCTGGACCACCTGAGGCCCGAACGGCGCAAATTTGCGGACACCGACCGGAACTTTCCTGGAAACCAACGGTTGGTTTCTCAGACGGGGAAATTGGCAACACACCCACCATCAGCAAGTTGGTTTCAACTGTCGAATTCCCTGTAGCTGTTTTCTCAGACTATCCGTTGATCCCCTGCTAAAAAGCTAAAATCGGCAAACGTGGCATAGAGTGATTTCCTCTAACGGTATAGCTAAGCGACTCTTTTGGTGGGATAAGCGACACTGTTGGTTGGATATGTCGTAAATCCAGTTTAAAAAAATGCCAAGTGCCTTTGGAAGGTTCAACAACATGCCTTGTCTAAAATAACAACATGGCATAACGCCCTTGTCTAAAAGTCAAAAGCTCTGAGAAACCGTATGGCCGGGAACAGCCAAGTCAAGCGACCAGAGGTCACTATGACCTTCAGCGGATGTTTGCTTGGGAGATTGATCGCAAAGAGAACCCCTCTTGTCAGGGGGCATTTCCAGGTATGCATGTGGATGCAAACAAAAGAACACCCCTTTCTAGCCAGGCAGTCTATTACCCCTTAAGTTGTATGTGACCTTACCTCAGAAACCCAGACCTGGACATGCCAACTTGATCTTGGTCTAAAACCTTTGTGTCCAGAGGCGACGACGCGATTCTGAGGGTGTACCCCAAGTTAGCTCCAACCACCATTTTTTTTTGGGGGGGGGTCCCCCCAAAAAAGACAAAAAGACACCCCCATAAAAACCGGGCCCAAAACCCCAACATGTTTAGTCCACCCCAAAATATAAAGAACTACCTTTGGCTCGGAGACGGATCCCTCGGATCCCTCGCACTCTCTCGGCCTTGGAGACCGGGGACTCCAGGCTTGCGTCCAGCGCCAGAACCTGAGGAGAGGTTCGGCTGCGGTTCTGATCCATGGCTTGCAGTTGGTGCTCTGAGTTGTGTGGTTTGATTAAACCTCTATGAACACATTGGTTTATTGCTACTGTTACATGATGATTGGTGCTTGTTGTTGTTGCTCTGTTACACTTTCATTGGTTCTTGTTTTTGTCTCTCAATATCATTATCATTATCATTGTCTTTGGTTTGTGGTGATTGTCACAGTATCATTGGTTATGGTGAGTGTTGCATTGTCATTGGATATTGCTGTTGCTACAGTATAGGTGTCGTTATCGAAACCATGGTGGTTTCGTTTCCAAAGGGAGCCACGGTTTGTTTGTGCAAAGGATATGTGCCCAACCCTAGATACGACAATGGACTCAGTTCCAGCTTAGTTGCAGGAAAGTGGGGGTTATTTTGCGCCACCTAAGCTGGTTGTCCATGGAGGTAAGAGGTTTGTAGAATTGACGGGAATTACATCTGCGAAATGAAATCGAAATTGTGTCCCTGGCACTTGTGCTGCCCCAAGAGTTTGTTCTAAGGAAGAAATCTCCCCCGAAACTGGCATACCAACCAAAAGTTGAACAAACGAGTCCCCAGGTGGGGTTGTACCATTGCTTTGTTGCTTTGTCCGGCTGGTGACAAGAGTGCCCTCTACAAAGAGGCCCTTTACCCTGATCACATGGTCTGACCTGCAAACCACCGCTTCTGCAAAGGGCAGTTGTGGCGACCCTTGTCTCCTGACCTGAGAGAAGTGCTGGCCTCTGAAGATCAATGGGGCAAGTGTCAATGACTTGCAAAGGCTACGACTCCCCCTTTCTATCAACCAAGTGAACCATCACCTTCTGGATACAAGTGAACTATCACTCACCAAGTGTGAGTCATGTATTTATTGTCTTCCAAACTCAGTGCCTGGTTGCAAAGGGCAAGTGAGGCGACGCTGATGTACCCTTCATCGAATCACCAGAAAGCTAGAAACGTAGGAACCCTCGAAGGGCTCGCAGAAAGGGGTCAAAGGGCGCAAACATTGCGGGCAAACAGTCGGGCCACGCAACTGTTCCTGGGCGTGGAGAGAACCCTACAAGTGAGCCCCTTTCTATGGCATACGAAACCGGGCACGGATAAGGCAAAACACCATGTGCCCGCAATCGGGAAACTTAGCTTCCGGTGCTCCACCCAAATTCAGCTTCGACTCCTGAAAAAAGAAACAACAAACCTCAGATGGATTCCCAAAGTTGGAACAAGGATGCCAGAAGCAAAACACTAGGAACCTTGACCTCACCATTTTTTTCCTTTTGCTTAGGAGACGTAACCATACGTTCTTCTTCCGTCTAAAGGTGCCCAGTGGCCGCGGCAACGACAAGGGATCCGCGATTTCCTTCGCGGATCCAACTCTGGCGCCTTCAAGTCGGCATGTTTGCAAGGCCCAACGCTGGCCGGGGCACGGCCAAATTCGACCATAGGGCTCCACGGGTTCCGAGGCAAGGGTGTCTTGACGGCTGGGCCACAAAGCTTCTAAGACTTACTTCAAGCCACTGTCTTGGTTGCTGTTGACCCCTCTGCAAAAAGTTTGACTTTTTGGGGGTTTAGTGGAAAACACTTTTATTTCCCAAAAAGTTAAAGTCTAAAGATCCAACCCAATAGCAGTCAAGCTGTTGCTTAGCTGGTGAGTGAGAGGTTGCGAGTTGCAGACTTCGGGCTGGGCCAAAAAAAGGGCCTTCGCGGGTGTGCTCACCACGGTGTTTGCTGTGTTGCATGTGTGCGTGTGCTGATTAATTCTTGTTTGGGTGCCTGGTTTCCGGCTTTGGGATGCGAGATGCACCGGTAGATGTCAGTTTGCCTGATACAATATCTGGGCCTCTCACCGCGACAGACTGAACCATCCGCAAATGGGAGTGTTCCCGTGGCGCGCAGCTGGATGAGCGCCAACTGCCGGGTCGTCTTATGCATTTCAATTTCGTCCAGAGAAAAAAAGCTGCACGATGCGGCCTGACTTGCGCAACGCCGGCGCCAAGTGCCGATCACCATCTAGACCAAAGTAGCTCCACCTCCGGGTGGCGGATGTTCCGCCTGCATGCACAAGTCCTGCCGGGTTTGTTCTCCTGACAGGAGCAGCACCACCACGTGAGAAATCTTTAAGGCAAGCTGGGCCTGGTGAAAAAATATCCGGCCGCTCTGAGCTCTCCCGACCCACTCGCCGAGCCGATCTTTTTGTTAAAACATATTTTGCACATGTTGGCTTCAAGGCACATCTCCGAAATCCTCCCGTTTGGGCCCCCCCGCGCATGGCAGGAGCAGCAGAACGCCTGCGCGGAGCGGAAAGACGTCCCCGACAGGAAATGATTGGATAATATGATCTGAGTCTGTTTCATATATAGTCTACCTTGAAAGTTTTGGAGGAGACCAGTTTGGGTACCGAAGGGAAACCAAAAACACCGAGTCCCCTCCCTCCCCACATTATACAGCTTCCTAGTTTGATTCAAGCCAGAATGATCCCCGAAAGGGTTGCGTGTCGGTTGAACAGCTTAGCACGTGGCTACAACAAGAACGTATTAAGTCTTCGAGGTTAGAAGACGCGTACTGGCATCTTGTCGCGCCGTCCCAGAAAAATCGAGGGGCTTCAATCCACTTTTGTATTACCCCCAAGGTAGACTTAATCCTTGGGGTGGTTCATTTCTCCAAGAGGAGAACCCCCGGTTAAGTCTTCCGTGTAGCCAAAAAGTGGAACCCTGCTTCCGAAGAGTATGGACCTCTGGATTCCGAGGTTAACATCGCAGAGACTGTTTGTTTGGCTTATCCTTCAGGGGTCTGTTCCAAAATACTGGTGGTACAACCTTTGAATCACCCCCCAATCTCCAGGACACAAACCCGAAACCCGCTGCGGTCGGGGGCAGGGGTGGCAAAAAAGGCGACGTCTGAGGCCCCGGGCACTTCATTTTGCCGGGGTTGGTTCCGGGTGAAAGCTACACCCGATGCCGGTGTCAGAACCAACGGCTGCGAAAAAGTAGATCAATGGGTAGGTGTCACTCCAAGCTTTGTGATAGCCCTGGGTCGGGTTTTGACCTTGAAAAAGATCGGGCCGCCGAGATCCTTCCGTAAACTGGCTTTTGCAGAACAAAACGTGGCCTGTCACACTGTCACCCCATGCCCCTCCCTGATGAGACATAGACTGGACATAGACTGATGAGAAGTGCCAGTGAGTCGTATCTTTCCATTTGGGCCAGGGGGGTGCGGCATTCTTGGGAAACACCATGAAGCTGTGCCGAAGCATCTTGTCCTATGATGGTCTTGTCACAAGTCAAAACCCGCTCGGCACACAGAATCACGGAAGGTGGAGACAAAATTCCGCCCTTGCGGCTCTTGGCTCGGCTCTCTCAGTCTCTTTCAGTCCCCAGACTCCTTCAAAGCGGTCTTCCGGCCAGCTCCAGGTTTCAGAAGATACAAACATCCCTAAAGGAACCTCGAGGCCACAAACCCCACCAGGTGAGGTCGCTGAAACATGCTTCCCACCAAACGCTGCGTGGTTCCCTTCAGACATGGCCTTCCCAAAACTGCAGCCGCGAGATCCCTCTCGCAGCCTGCCACTGCACTCTGCCGTACCCACCCCACGTTTCTAGAATGTACCATTCTTTCCACGCTCAAAAACTTGGCACAAGACCCGAACCCAGGGCACAACATGTGCAATCGACTCTCCATCGACTACATCAACTTCCCAGCCTTCAGCATCACATTGTTTGAAGGAAACTCGAACCAAGGTTGAGGCCAAGAAGGCACGAGATTGGAGCCAAAGGGTCTGTTCCAAATGAAAAACCACAACGAGATGTCTCAGCACGGCATGAAATGATTCAACTTGGCCCACAGCTGTGGTACACAAACAACCATATTCCGCGACTCAGGTTCCACATTTTTAGTCTACCACAGAACAGGACCTTCCCCGCCGAATCCCAGAAACCCATGCCCGACATAGGTGACCGTGTCTCGGGCGGAACCGGCACCACAAAGTGGACCTGGCGAAATGTCGACCCAAAAGGTGGGCCCCATGTTGCATTTGGACTCACTTCCGATTCAGAATCGTAGGTGACTTTCTCCATGGTCATTTCCCGGAGAAAAAAAACAAAAAAAGCCGTACCTTGGGGGGTCGCGCCTTCTTGGGTCAGTTCGGTGCAAAGCGATGGAAAAAGACCACCATGCATCCCATCGAGCGGATTGGCCGAAAGACAAAAAATCGCTGCTTGCCACTATGGTCGTTCCAAAGCGTTTGAAGTCCAACTCAGGAAGTGAGTGGATGGGTCCTCAAAACTTACTGTTGAGGATGGTGACGGGTTCTCATGTGCTTGTTACTTCTTCGGGTGGCTTATGAAACCAAAAAAATACAAAACAAATTCAAGCTGACATAAACGTAAGGACGCTTGCTCCACGTGCAAATCAACATAGAACCCCAAAAGCGGCCTCGCAAAAGCAGGCTCCTCTAAAAAAAGAAGATGCGTCAGTCGAAATGGCTTGATTTTTTGCAAGAGGACATGGGGAACTGTGTAACCCCCTCCTTTTTTTTCTGGGACGTTTTCCAACCTCGGAGGGCCTTTTCCAACCACCAATCAACAGCACCGGATCCGCTTCCCCTTTGACTAGTTGCTTGGATTGGTGGTTTGGTGTTTTAAGGACCTACAATTGCTATGGCTGGGTTATAACCAGGCAACAGCCACTTCCTAAGCATCGCCCCCTTAAGCAAAGGCCTTGGACGACGTCGCAAGAGAAACCAAAACGGCCAAACTGGGCCCCAGGCCCGGGCTCCATTCTCCTCCACCTCCGCCTCCCCGCCGTGGATCCTCAAAAAAAAAAGCGCGGGTTGCCGCTCTGGTCGCCGTTGCTGCCCCCCAAAAAGAAAAAAAGTGGACAAAAAGAAGTGATACTGCTCTGCGGTGATTAAAAAAAAAAAAGAGAGAGAAAGAAAGAATCTTCAGATTCTGGCCATCATATTTGGTGAAACCTAAACTATAAAACATGTTCGAGGCGGCAGCCAAGGGGAAACCGTCATGTTGCAGGTCAAAAGGTGAGCTCGGTCACCTTCGGATTTTTTGGGCCAAAGGAGGGACCTCTGGCGAGCAAGGCTTGCCCACTTGCCCTGTCCCATGTTAAGACCGAAACAATGGCACGGGCCAATTGCCTGGGTGTACTGGCCTGGACATATTGAAACTCGTTCGGCCTTGACTTAACAAGATCCAGAGACGTTGACATGAAAATTCAGCAATGTGTCCACTGGCAATCCCAAAACCAGGGAATACACCCGCTCGGATCTGCCATGGGGGATTTGCTTGTCGGCAACTCAACTGTGACTGGGAACACTGCAAAGACTCACTTCATGAGTGGATCGGCCAACAATACAGAACACATGCACATATAGACACACGTACTACATGTACACCCAAGCAATACAGGAGCAATAGGGTCATATGCATGTCCAGTCGAATGCCACCTGTCTTCCCAAAAAGTGCTTCTCGTCCACCTTTGGCCTACATGACGTCCAACCTGAGAGGCGAGAGGGGCTAAGGGTTTGCAGGCATTCGGGAGATCGAGCCCGAATGTGCGTGAACCCTCAAACTGCCTTTGAAAATGGGAAATCACCCCACAAGTTTGGGGCCAGTTTTGGAGCAGACCTCAGAATCGCCCATGTTGCTAACGCCCCCCCTCTGCCCCTTATAAACGACCTAAAGAAGGTCCTGCCAGTCTCCTCGGCCAGCTTGGAGATGACCTGAGCCCGGCTTCAAGGCCACCCTCCGGCTGATCGCTTCTTCCACACGGCCAAGGAGATCAATCCGCGCCACATGCTGTTCGAAAACAAATTCCTGGAGGCCGATTCTCCAAAAAAAGACTCGGCCCCAACGAAGCGCAAAAGGGGCGCGGTGGATTGATGAAGTATCATGGTGTCAAAGTGGGGCCCGCTTGGAAGCAGCTAAGCAGCCAACCAAGGGTACAACCCGCAAGACTAGACAAGGCGGCTCATTTCCCGACATTTGCTTGGAGAAACTCTGGGTTTAAGTCGAACCCCCATTCACACATATGTTACGTCACATACAGTTCAGTCGTGTGATTTGACAATGGGTCTGTTCACAAGGGCCATGGCACATCCCAAATCCAAGTTCGAGCCCTCCGTTGTTCTGGGGCTCTGCAGGAGAGAGGGCGGGCACTAAAGGTGCCTGTTGGCTGCGGCATCCCAATTTCAGACAAAACCTGCAGAGCTGTTGGTGTTAGAGAGCCCTGTTAGGTGTCTTTTTGGAGGAAACCTGGTACTTCTTGTGCTTTTCTCGCTGTTTGGCTGTGATGTGTCGAGTTGCAGTTGCGAACCGGGCTGGAGGAGGGGGAGGAAGGGGGGGGCGGGGGGTGGGGAGGGGGGCGGAGGGGGGTGGGGAGGGGGGCGGAGGGGGGGTGGGGTATGTTACCGTCGTTATGAAAGGCTTGCGCGCACACGAACACACAAAGTGCACACAGGTTGATGCATGGCCAATGTTGGTTGCAAATGCTGGCAAAAAGCATCTGGAGAGCCATCATGTCCATCCCAGCAAACATGATTTTCTTAGAAGAGTCTCTGTGACGAGGGGAGCACGCAAACGACCCGCTTGCTTCATAGTGGGGACTCAATGTATAGACAAATGGTATCATTGCAAGACGATATACTAACTCAACTGCACACTAATGTGTTTTGCTACATGCATCGCTTCTTTTTTTAAGTATCAGCTTCGAGAAGGATTTCTGCCGTGCGTTGGCTGCAGTTTGTTGGTTCAGATTTTCCAGCAATTGAACTGCAACTGTGCAAAAAGCATTGGGCTATTGACATTTTCTGCAGAAAAGCAATGCTGTCCTGGTTCTCCCGTTCACTGCGAAGTAAGAGCCAGGCATGACAAATTGCAGAAAAGCCAGGGGAAAACACGTGTGACACAGCTTTCGCCTCCAGGTTTTTTTAACAGCCTGTGACCTTTTTGGAGAACTTGATGGATTCCAATGCCAATGATGCGAACCAAACTGAAGCCAGTGAATGCCATGTACTTGGTTTGGACCAAACTGATTCTAGCACCCCCAGCAAGCAACGACCTGCCACCCTCACCTGCATCAAACCAAAATTCAAGAGATCAGTACCTGATACCCCGAAGACTCCTGTTGCTGTGCCCCCCCACAATCACTCGGACTCACAAAAACAAAAGCCTTAAAGCACAAACAAAGGATTTATATAGTGTTTGCATGCAAAACACGAGCGCTTCAAATTTACCAGGTTGCATATCAACAAAGAACGCAAACCAAAAAAACACATCTGAACAACACCCACTCCATGCTGCACCTGCATCACGCCCTGCACGACGACGTCAGGCGTGCTGCCTTTGAGGCAAAGCTCCTGGAAACACCGAAGGCCTGCCATTTACCCCACGGAGCAAGTGGAACGCGGGTAGTTGTTTGGGCCGACCAAAAACGGGGCGCTGTTGCAGGCCAACCTTTTTTCAGGCGGGCTTTGCGGGTTTTGAGACACGGGATGGGCGGCCCTTTCGGGCGCAAGTGTCATGTGTCACAATGAAGGGTCGAGTCGAACCTGCCCCTCTCCCTGCGACTTAGGACAGACACGACTAACAAGGAGTTCTCAAACCCTTGTAAGCGCCAACTGGAAGAAGTTTGGAAGAACGTTTCAGCGATGCCTGGGGCCCTGAGCGGCCTTTCGTTTCCGCCCTCAAGTAGTGGTTGCTGAGTCTCCCAAAAATCAAACACATACAAAAAAAAATGGAAGAAAATTCGTGTTTCTTGTTGTTTTGACACACGTGGGGTCACAGAAGCATACCAGTTTCTACCCGTGCCTGTTGACGCACTGGAGAACCATCTGTCTATTTCTGGCGCCACTAACGTGTCATATGTGTCAGTCATGTGGTTGCTGCAGCGCAAAAAGTTTAGTTTCTTGTAAATGGCTCCACTGACTATTGGGAGAACAGGGCGAACTTACGGCACCACTGAAGGTCTGACCACCAAAAACACAAAACATTTGTTAGCAGTGCTCAGCCCTTAATGGTTTCCCTTTCAAAACGACCGGGGTACCCTGAAAAAACCCAACCGAACAACTCCATTTGGAGCTTCAGTCCGGGTCCGAGAATTCTGGCGTTTGAGTTTGCGGGGGTGGAAAAGCCAAAACTCCAGGTTGATGAGAGCAGGTTCCTGCATCTGCGTGCCAGGGTAGTACTCTCCCTTGCTGCTGAGGTGCAGCCTGTCGCAGTCGGCAAAAGGCGCCCAGAAGGCACATTTTCATTTGCAAAGGAAAGAAAAGAAAAGAAAAGGAAAGAAAAGGAAACAAAAGAAAAGGAAAGAAAAGGAAAGAAAAGGAAAGAAAAGGAAAGTAAACAAAAGAAAAGGAAAGAAAAGGAAAGAAAAGGAAAGAAAAGGAAAGAAAAGGAGAGAAAAGGAAAGAAAAGAAACGAAAGGAAAGAAGAAAAAAAAAAGAAAAGGAAAGGAATGAGGAAAAGGAAAAAAAAGGAAAAAAAAAAAAAAAGAAGGAAAAGGAAGGAAAAGGAAGGAAAAGGAAGGAAAGGAAGGAAAAGGAAGGAAAAGGAAGGAAAAGGAAGGAAAAGGAAGGAAAAGGAAGGAAAAGGAAGGAAAAGGAAGGAAAAGGAAGGAAAAGGAAGAAAAGGAAGAAAAGGAAGGAAAAGGAAGGAAAAGGAAGGAAAAGGAAGGAAAAGGAAGGAAAAAAAAGGAAAAAAAGGAAAAGGAAGGAAAAGGAAGGAAAAGCAAGGAAAAGGAAGGGAAAGGAAGGAAAAGGAAGGAAAAGGAAGGAAGGAAGGAAAGGAAAAGGAAGGAAGAGGAAAGGAAGCGGAAGGAAAAGGAAGGAAGGAAAAGGAAGGAAAAAGGAAGGAAGGAAGGAAAAGGAAGGAAAAAGGAAGGAAAAAAGGAAGGAAAAGGAAGGAAAAGGAAGGAAAAGGAAGGAAAAGGAAGGAAAAGGAAGGAAAAGGAAGGAAAAGGAAGGAAAAGGAAGGAAAAGGAAGGAAAAGGAAGGAAAAGGAAGGAAAAGGAAAGAAAAGGAAGGAAAAGCAAGAAAAATTTGGAAAAGGAAAAGGAAGGAAAAGGAAGGAAAAGGAAGGAAAAGGAAGGAAAAGGAAGGAAAAGGAAAAGGAAGGAAAAGGAAGGAAAAGGAAGGAAAAGGAAGGAAAAGGAAGGAAAAGGAAGGAAAGGAAGGAAAAGGAAGGAAAAGGAAGGAAAAGGAAGGAAAAGGAAGGAAAAGGAAGGAAAAGGAAGGAAAAGGAAGGAAAAGGAAGGAAAAGGAAGGAAAAGGAAGGAAAAGGAAGGAAAAGGAAGGAAAAGGAAGGAAAAGGAAGGAAAAGGAAGGAAAAGGAAGGAAAAGGAGGAAAAGGAAGGAAAAGGAAGGAAAAGGAAGGAAAAGGAAGGAAAAGGAAGGAAAAGGAAGGAAAAGGAAGGAAAAGGAAGGAAAAGGAAGGAAAAGGAAGGAAAAGGAAGGAAAAGGAAGGAAAAGGAAGGAAAAGGAAGGAAAAGGAAGGAAAAGGAAGGAAATGAAGGAAAATGAAGGAACGGGGAAGGAAGGAACGGGAAAGGAAAGGGAAAGGAACGGGAAGGGAGGGGAAGGAAAAAGAAATGGAAAGAAAAGGAAAAACAAGGAAAAGAGCTAAAACCGAAATATCATTGACCGCCCGCTCAACTTCTGCAAGGACACTTTGCCCGAGTGGTCTAAGGGGGTGGGCTCAAGTTCCACTAGCGCAAGCTGCGCGGGCTCAAATCCCGCAGGTGTCATTTGCACCCTAGACTACTTGCCAAAAGCACTCTCGAGTGAGGTGATTCAGGGTTTGTGTTGTGTCGGGTTGATCCCGTTAGATCGGTGATGCTTGCGAGTTGGTTCGTCGAAACAGCCCTGGCCCAGCCTTGCGCCCGTAAGATCGGTGATCTGCTTGCTACTGGCACCTGGGCGGAGTCTGCTTTCTTGATTTTCGACGAAAATTGCTTTGTTGGCCGAAAGAGACTGAAATGCAACGGGGTGTTTTACCTTTGTGTGTCCCACACCAGTTGGACGGCTTTTTCGGCGTCATTCCAATCGCAAGTTGTCCCGGCATTGAAGTCCACAACCCCTTTCTCAGCCCCTTAGATCCAATCTTTTGGGATGGTCCGAACCCAAACGTGTCAAAGTCAGAAGAACCGAGGCAGCGGGGAACTGGACATCTCTTTTGGTTCCCTGGTCTGAGGCACCCCGCCAGAGGGGCCCAACACGCAGGCGCCCTCCTAGAAAATTCGACTCGAGGCGATTGGCTCTCAGAGCTGCACACAGTGGGCATGAATCTGACATTGTTTATGTCCACCAACAACTTTTCAGGGAGTCCCGTATTAACATTCATGGCCACATGGGCTGCCCGATTTGTCAAAGGACTAAAACCTGCGGTCCGATTCCCTGCGTGAATCAGGCAAAGATTTGCTTCCCGTGGATGCGGAAACATGTGCATCAGTTTTGGCAATGACCGCTCGGGGGAAGGGATGGTTCAGTTTGGGAAGACCCGCATTCCGAATCTGCTAGGGAAAAAGGCAATTGGCAGTTTCTTGAGCCCCTTTCGGGCGATGCGTTTGCAGAGAAACCAAGAGGCCCGCCCGAGGAAAGGGAGTGAGGTGGAAAATCAGGTGGCGTCTTTGGACGGCATTTGCAAGGACCATTGACCACCAATTTGCCATGATCATCAAAGACCTGCTTACTCAAATGGCAAATGGTCTCTCACTTGTGGCCGAGAGCCCCCCCCTGCTGGTTTCTATGTGGGTACTTTCAAATGCTCCCCCCCATGCCCTTCCCGAACCAACAGTAGACTACCAACAATATATTGTGTGACTCAGTGACTCACCCCGCTATCTACACTTCGCTGTGCACAAGGCCAGGGACATGTTTCTCAGAGCACAAGTACCCTTTGGTCAATATCATTTGCGACAAATGGGCCCCGAAAATAGGGGACCCCCCGAAATAGCCGGTTCCTTTTGCAAAAAGAGCGTGCCCCAAAACAGGGCAAACTTAAATGGTACGGCTCAAGCCTCCAAAGAATGTGGATACAACTTGTGTGGATCCAACTCTGACACCACGACGACGACGACGACGACGACGACGACGACGACGACGACGACGACGACGACGACGACGACGACGACGACGACGACGACGACGACGACGACGACGACGACGACGACGACGACGACGACGACGACGACGACGACGACGACGACGACGACGACGACGACGACGACGACGACGACGACGACGACGACGACGACGACGACGACGACGACGACGACGACGACGACGACGACGACGACGACGACGACGACGACGACGACGACGACGACGACGACGACGACGACGACGACGACGACGACGACGACGACGACGACGACGACGACGACGACGACGACGACGACGACGACGACGACGACGACGACGACGACGACGACGACGACGACGACGACGACGACGACGACGACGACGACGACGACGACGACGACGACGACGACGACGACGACGACGACGACGACAACAACAACAACAACAACAACAACAACAACAACAACAACCACAACAGCAACAAGGGGAACAGCGCGTATTCCACCAAAAGTGCAGCCAAAAAGGGGTTCTCAATATATTGGATCCCTAGCCTAGTTGCTATCATTTGGCATCCATGAATATAGCTTCGGATTGGTCGGTTGGAAAAACGGGAGTTCCGGGGAGTTTGGAATCCTCCGAGAGTGAGCGTGTCTCCATCTCCGCACGTCAAGTCACTGACGCGCAAACTCCGATCGACTCAATGACATAGGTGGCCTTGTGGAAAAATAGATGGCCCTGGTAAATGGAATAAACCCCATCTTTTCCAGGGCCCTCTACTTTTTCAGCAAACCAACCAAAAAGGACACCTATGTGTTCTTTTGGGTTGAGAGATCACCGTGTGGCATGGCACAAAACTTTAAAACCCCCATGTTATCCGCAATTGTTTACCTCCATTCTAGTTTTTGAATTATGTGCCAAGAAGCAGGCTGGGGGTCGGAAGCAAAGACCTGAAATCACATTGTTTTGGAATACCATGGGTCTGCGTGTGATATGACAGCATGTGGCTTGAATCGAAAGGAGGCCTTCTTGCTTCTGGGGTACGCAGCAAATCAGATGTTCAGAGTCCGGTTGAAATAGCTGGTCTACCCGAAAATACAAAAAAATGCTTTGGTTAGGAGACCCCAGAAGCCATGATTAGACTTAGGCCCAGTTATAGAACGTATATTCTATCGTTTGCTTCCCTTTGAGTCACTGGAAAAATGTAACATGTATCCTAAGTCTACCCCAGAAGCCACCAGAGGCCCCCAACGTTGGACCTCAAAAAACACCCCTCGGGTTGAACTTCGAACCGTCCTTCGGGGAGATCAGCATCTTGATGGCCATGCCCACGGGCCTCGGGGCATCGGCGCGGGGTTTAACGTGGATGCGTGGCCTTGGACGTCTGGAGCTCTCTGCCAAATTCTGAGGGTCTTTGCTGTTTGAAAACCACAAATTCCTAGGGCTGTCCTCAGATCCCCCGCTAAAAGCTTGACTTGAAAGGCTAAAATGCTAAGGGGATGGCTGGGAACCACCCAGCTACTTGTTGGATAGTGTTAAGGAGAAAATTCGACATTGCAGTGTTCGGTTGGCAGGGAAAAGTTATCTTGTTGTTTCTCGACGTGGAGAATGAAAGAAACCCAACAGAGTAAACGGGCAAGTCGAGGCCTTCCAGAAATCCAAGCGTGCGGAGGAATGGTGAGAGGCAAAGATATATCTGTAGATATCCTGCATGTGCACAAGCGGGAGAAGGACTCCCGCTGTCAACACGGGGAGAAAGATCGCCTCTAGACTCTAAACCAGGCACCCCCATTCATGATCCACAGGTTTCATCCTGGGTTCACTACACTGTTTGGTGAGAAAAAAATGGTTTCTAGGTGAGGGAATGCCCAACAACAAGAAACAAAGTGCCAAAGCAGACCACAAATTGCCTGGACAGTCACACAGTCTGGAAGCCTCGCTTCCAGCTCATTGCTGGAAGAATGGCACAACCCCTACCTCCATCTCATCGATTTGCTCCCTGAATCGACCCGGCCAGGTTGGAAAACAGGCCTGGCTCATCACAAGCTTCGGAAGTTTCGACTTGGGTGTGTGTGTTTTTGTCAGGCTACCCCTGGTAAGTCTGCATTCAAAGCGTCACTGCATTGAGTTCCAAACCCATGAAACAAGGGGTTCGCAAGTAAAGGACCAACATGGTGAGCTCGTTCTAGCCCCCAAAGATCGCCATCAGAATGAGCCAAAAAGCGGCCTTGAGTGCCTACCCTCGTCTTCCGATTGGGCGGGACTAGCGGGGTCCAACCGAACTATCGCAACTTTGGGAGGTTCAAACATTGATGGACACCGGAAAGACTGAGAATCAGAGAAAAGCGAGAGACAAGCTAGAGGGAGAGAGAGGGAGAGAGAGAGAGAGAGAGAGAGAGAGAGTGAATGAGTGAGTGAGTCAGTGAGTGAGTGAGAGAGTGAGTGAGAGACAAAGAGACAGAGAGAGTGCAGAACAAACCACTTTATGTGTTCCCGAACATGGGATGAAGCAGCAACGTGTGTGGGGCATGGTGCCATGCAAAGAAATTCATGTTGCAAAATTGACTGCCACAATTAAACAGGCGTGGTCTGTGATCCCCTGCAAAAAGTTTCTCACGTTTTGCTAATTGGTGGGGAAGTCTGCCAAAGAAGCCAAAGGTTAAAGTTGGGAAACGAACAAGCAGGAACCCAGCGACTGGGGAACGTTGAGGATTGCCGACTTAGTTATTTCGGATGTGTCTCATGGTCCCCCACGCCCCTTCTTCCCACTCCCTTTCCTTGGCCAAGAATAACAAACCTTTTGTTGATTAACATTGGGTGTTCCATTCATTCCCACCGGGTTCCTTGATCCGGGGTCAACTTGTCTCATCCTGGTCAGTGGAGTCACTGGAATCTGAGCAACTTACTGCCAACCACAAGCCGGAAGTGGCGCTCATCGCTCGTTTCAGCTGTGTTTGTTTTTTTGAGAAGTGAATGATTCAATGGGACGCTCGTGGTCTATTGATGGTAGGTCCGTATTGCTTTGTCACCCTCGGATTTATCCGCACCGCATTTGGCGTTCCCTACTTTGCTAAGAATTCATTGGTTTAGGGCCTCACGAGCGAAAGCTCGCTTCTGGAAGGTATAAGTGTGACGGCTACGTCGCATTCTGAAAGCTGCGGTTTCACTGTAGGTCTGAAGGACAGGGGCTCACGCACTTTGAGTGTGTCAGCGGAACTTGCGTTGTGAAGGGGGTGCGGCCAGTCCCATCTTCGTGTAGTGCGCAGGGCTGTGTTGCAGCGTGAACGACGTTGCCGTCATGAGAAAAAGAAGGGCTTCCTTTGATTGCGGTCCGAACCTCAGCTTCCCTTCAATGGAGGTCTTCTTCCTTTCCGCATGTGGGATCGCATGGAAACCTCCCCTTGCTTAGGCAAAATTGGAGCCCAGTGATTTCCCATTTACCCACAAGAACCAGGGGTTCTTGTGGGGAATCACCTCTGCTCATTTGCCCCCCACCTGCCAGCTGAGAGCAACGACCGCCTACCAGTGGCCACCGTCCCGAGTCGGCCCTTGCGAGTCGGCTCCGACACATTGGAGGGCGCCGGTCCCAGATCAGCGTGAACGACCTGTGATTTTTTGTTTTTAGACCCACAAAGATCGTGGCCTTCCCTTGAAGATTCCTTTTAAGCATCGTGGAAAAAAGACAAAGAAGTTCCCTCCAAAAATACACAGCTCGGCAACTGGAACCATTTGGATTCCCTCGAAAATGTTAAAAACTGGAAGAAGCAAAAGATAAGACCAAAGGCGCCTTTCCCCCCGCCGGCGCCCTCGTCGCCTCAGGGCCCGTGCGGCCTGGACCCCCCCATCTCGCCGCCCGGCCTCGAAGGATCGCGCGCGGCACTGGTCTGGATGGAGTTGTTGCCATGTGGGTGTGGCTCAAAATTACACAGGAGGGGCCAACCGCAGGTTTTGGTCCATGTTTCCACTTACCAGGGTTCCATTTTGGCACCGGTTTTTTGAGCCACAGCCACGTGCCAGGGCCATCGATGTTTCCACAAGGCGGTGGGATCATGGCCGGGCATTTGTCTAGGGGATTTTGTTTGTGCACGCTTTCTCAGACACCCATCGGGTCAGCAACCCCGAAACGCAGGGACAAGGGGCGAAATACTTCCTTTCTTAGATGCGTGTCCCGTGGGTGCAAACATCACCTTTAAAGGGACCTTTTTGGACATCACCTTTTGTCCATCTCCGACAAAAAAGGGTAGCCTGCCTCCAACAATCATGGAAGCTGACAGGAGGCTTTCGGAAGAGTATTCTCTTCTGGAGGACGTCCACGTCCATTGTTGGAAAGAGGGTATGTCCCTTGTTAATTCTGGGACACGGTTCTGGGTAGACCATTTCAATACCGATCGGTTTTGATTATGACTTACCTTTATGTCCATCTGGCAAACAGCATAAATATCAAACGCCGCTTTAGTTGGGGCGTTCTGTTTCCAACCAAGCCAACCTTCAAGGAATCCTATGGTTTCCACACTTTGTTGGGGGCCATGAAAACTGTCAGATTCAATCACAGAAAGCCGATGGGATCGCAGCATGCGAGCTCCGCGTAGACTCCGACATCCCATTCTTCCAGCTCTCTGTCGAGAACACTTCTGAGCGTATCCGAGATGTGTCCTTTTTAAATATACCCTTACTTCTAAGGTCCTGCGAATCCGACACGTGTCTTTTTTGAGTGTGCCGTTTTGGAGTTGTTTGAGAAGCATTCATTTCCGGTATTCACCATGGAAAACAACTCCACGTAGAGATGGCTTGGTGGGGTACCGTCTAGTGGGTGGGAGTGTCACGGAAGGCATGTGTAATGTTCTCCTACAATGGTGACTTGGTTTGAGGTTAAGCTCATACCCTTAATTCCCACGCAGACTTGCCCGGGTTGGACACCACTTTTTGGGTCCACTTCCTCGGGTTGGGCGTGCGGCCCTTCCAACCAAATGGGAAGCCAGGAATCACCTCTTTGGACGGGTGGCACGGGTTTTTCCGGGCGTCTCGCGTCTCCCCAAACAAGCTGGAGGGGGGGGCCTCATGGTCATTTCGCCTTCAGGGGGAGAGGGTTGCACACCAGGTCACTCCACGGCCATCCCTATCGATGGGCTGCCCGACCGCATGTTGCCGGCCCCTGAGAGCGGGAGGCTTTGGGCCGAAGCCGAAAGGCCAGGTGACCAGTTCGGACCAACAGAAAATCAAGAAATTGGCTATGGGAAAAAAGCCGTAAATAGAACAAATCTGGCACACAGGGTGTACCTGCTGTTGCCCAGCTGAAAAAAAATAAAAGGAAGGGGCTCAGAGGGTGCTACACAGTTAGAGAACCCGAAGCTTCTCTGCTTGCTTCTCAAAATGGTGGACCCTTGGCATTCAAATGGAAAGCAAAGGAGTCCCTCGCAATTTTAGGAGACAAGAAACCCATTTTGAGCAAGGGGAAAAAACTGTAGACAAGATCCTGGGAACTTGATTCTGGACACTCCAAGATGGCTTTCAAAAGAGGGAATGCTTAAACGCAGGGGAATCTGTAACCCAAGGTGGAAGGGCGTGGCCTGTTCAGAGTACCACGGAAAAGCCCGCAATTGGCCCCTGAGTGCTGAATATGGGTCTGGAAAGTTGTGAGAAGAATGGGCCCATCTCCTTTTGGTTTCCCCCCATTTAGGAACCCTTCTGATTTTGCGCATGTCAGGTCCACGTACGCTCTGTGAAGGGAAGAACAAGCTTTGCACCTTTCCTTGAGCCCAAAGAGACTGTCGGGAACTTCGGCTCAATCTGGAAGACCCGACTAGTCAAAGGAACCCCTTTGAAATACATCATTGTAAAAGAAGGGGAACCACCCCCTGATTAGTACGGTCCTCTGGATGAACTCGAAGTTGACATTATCCCAAGCGTCGGCCAACATTGATACCTGCCCACGGGAACCTGCCCCCCCCAAAAAAAACAACAACAAATGAAACGCTTATTCCAATAAGCTCAGGTGATATCCCCAACAGCATGCGGTGCTCTGTTTAGTGCTCGCACCACCTCGCACCACCCCGCAGCCCTCGCAGAACCTCGTGGAACCCTGGTGGAACCCTGGTGGAACCCTGGTGGAACCCTGGTGGAACCCTGGTGGAACCCTGGTGGAACCCTGGTGGAACCCTGGTGTATCCCTCGTGTAACCCTCGTGGCGTGGAACCTTACCTCAGGGCCGCCCCGGACCACCCCGGAGCCTATCTGGGCTGAGACCCCAAAGCTTTCAGCTGTTGGGGGGGGGAAAAAAAAGCTTGTGTCTTGACCCCAGAGCTGACGCTGTCGGAGGAAAACAAGACCCACTCCGACATCTTTGTAAGCTAAGCGTCTCACCCTGACAATTTATAGTTTTACAGGCGTTCGTTCCAGGTAAACAGCAACTTCCCACTAGAGCATTTCACCATTTGAAGAGGGAAAACCCTTGAACAGGTCAGACAGCAATGCTCCATCCTTCCAAAAAGCTATGAATGGGAGGTCTTCCCCACTCCTTTAGACAGCCCAACAAGAGCACGCTCAAGAAAACAACATGCCCATCTCACGACGCTTGCACCTCCGGCAACGTACGAATCCCCCCCCCCCCCCGCACCTCTTTGCGGCGTCTAGCGGCCCTTCTGTGCCGAGCCGAAAAGGTCGAGCAGAAAAACGCCAGGTGCGGAGGCTTGAGCTGGACGAACCATCGCCCAAAGGAAATCTGACTCGGAATTGGCCCCCCTGGTTTGTGGATGTTCTGTTGGCTTCCCTTTGCTCCATGCTAAAGAAGGGTACCCTCAACAACACAAAAGCCCAAAGATGTTCAAAACAACAACCGCCAGAATTCGGAAAACACCGGGGGGACCGCTTTATTTGCCAGGCGCCCCTTGAATTCAGCGCACCCCTTTTCTCCCGGCGGTACCGAGGTACGCGGAGCCCTTCTGCTCAGCGGCAGAAGTCTTGATCCGCATCCTGGCGAAGCGGAGCGCGAAGTCTGGGCATCATGTGGGTATGGAATCGGTTTCACTACTGGACATCATTTCCCTTTCTTCTCCCAGGGGGCGGAAAAGCAAATGGGTATGGGTCAAATTTTTCACCACCAGAGCACCGCAGGTTCAGTCCAGGTGTCCATTCTCCACGGTTCCATTTTGGGTACCTAATTTTGACCCACAGCTATGTTAAAAAATGGCCCCTTGTGACAAAGCAACAAGAAAAATCATTGGGTCATCTGATACCTGAATATCACCGAACCTGGCCCTAACACTGGACATATGTTTGCCCCAATCAATGAATCCGGAATTCTGGGACTGTGTCAGCTTGGCTTGCCGAAACTCATCATTCGATTTGTTGGCAGGGGGTGCAGGGGTGTGGCAAATGACCCCTTGGATCATCCCGGCTACTGCATCAAGTTCAAGGGGATTCCCGAATATCACAAAAACTGGCCGTCAAAGCAGCCCGATTCTCCAAACACATGCATCAGGGAGCGTCCGCTGTTGGAGGGAATGTGTCTTTCTGCTCAGTTTGGAGGGAAACGAAAGAGTCACCTGTTTGCTGGGTGCTTGCCATATTCTGAGACAAGCACAAATGGCCCCTGCGGTGGATTCCTGCCCGATCTTGCAGGTGAAGCATCCAAGCACATGTGAAGTACACAGGGTTCCTTGTCTTCGCCTACCTGCACTATGTGGGTGTCGTTTTTGTGGCAGTCCCCTTTTTGATTCGTTGCAGTCATATGAATATGAGCCACGGACAATACTGCAGCTCAATTGGGAAGGCACCCCCTGTTGTGTGCCGAAAAAGGGAGGCGATTGGGTAGGCACAACAGACTACCAGTAATCAATTTCTGTTCAATTGGTAATTTGGCAATGGTTTGGATTGGTGGTTTGGCGGTGCTTTCCCATCTTTCCCATCTACCCTCTACAAGACACAGAGGTTCAAATTCCCAAGCCAAAAACCCCAAACCACCAACCAAGGGGAAGTAGTAGTAAAGTTGACCATTGCTCAAATCCTGGGCTTATGATAAAGAACTCCCAAAAATCGGACACCAACGGACTCAGACCCCTCTGATTGGTGGCATGGCTCCGACTGAATGCATCTCAAAATAGGGAGGTTCCCTCAAAAGGTCCTGTTTCCCTTTCCTCCCACCAACATAGCATTTGTGGGAGGGTACCTGCAAGATAATTGTCCGACGCCCTGTCAGGTGCCAATGTTAGTGCCAGGGACGGTACCTCTGTTTAAACCGACCTTTATTTCTTGTTCCCCCACAGCTGAAAGCTAAGGGGTCTCAGCACAGATAAGGTTTGGGGGTGGCTTGGTTGGGGGCTATGGAGTCAGGTTTGAGCAAGGTTCTGGAGGTTTAAGGTTCAAGGAAGGTTCCGAGCAGTGTAAGGTTCAAGGAAGGTTCCAAAGGTTCCGGGATGGTCTGGTGCAGGAGGGTGTGTCGAGGGTTCTGCGAGGGTTCAGCGAGGCTTCGGCAAGAGGGTTCAGGGGTTGCGGAATGGTCCGTTCCGCGAGGGTTCCAAAGGGTGTGCTTGTTTTTTTTTTGTGTTTCCCCCCCCCCCCCCCCCAAATCTGCAAAAGTCACCTGAGCTTATCCTTCCTCGTATTTTTTGGGGGAAGGATCAACAAAAACTACGGCCTAGTGCCTCCAGAAGAAGAGGCCGATTCAATCCGCGATGGGCCTCGAATTTGGACCACCCATCCCCAAAGAGTAGGTTGCCCCCCAAAAAGGTGACTGAGCTTTAGTGCGACAAGCCCATGAAGCCGAAAAAGGCCAACGGCCATGTTCCCAACGAAAGCACCTCCCCCGGCCTCTGAGGGTCTGTTGAACAGGGTGCACCGCAGCACCACGTACCTCGTCCACTCTGCCTGGTGTCACTGGCACCCTCTGCTAAGCTGGTTCCCACAATTCCCCGAAAAAACCCAGGCACACGGGGTCCATTTGAGCCACAATCAAAACCAGGCATTTAAATGGTTTATCCAGAACCATGCTTGAAGGATTGAACTGGCGGCTATGCGCACCCATTTATGGTACGGGGATTGTCCATTCCCTTACCCCTCCAACTATCCGGGTGTTGAGGGCGTGACTCATTTTGAGAGACGGCAAAATCTCGCGCAATTCGTGGCATCCAACGTCAAGCGCACGCCGCAGAAACCAAGACCGTCACGGCGACCGGAACGGCCACCTGGGGCCCTGGAGCCGCGGCTCGGGCGGCTCGGTGCGACTTTGCGACCACCAACCAAGACTAAAGTTGGATTCAACGTCTCACTTCCTGAGTGTATGCGCCAGAAAACGTCCAAACGGTTTTTGGTTTACCACTAACATTGAACATGGTCTTCCCGAAAAGTGACACAAGTCCATGAACTCAGGAAGTGAGACGTACCCCACAACTCCATTCCAACTGTTCAGATCCTTACATTCGGTGTTTGCTATTGAAAAAGATGCTTGAGAGGGGGGGGGGTGGGGGGGGGGTTCATGAGGGGTCAACATCAAACTTGACAGTCTTTGGCAGGTGCTTGTTTTGTTTGGTTCTGTGGTTCGATTCATTGTAAGTGGGTAGCTGCAAAGAACATACAGTTCTGACCTCCCAAAAGCTTAAATAGGGCCTGACTTGTATTTATTCAGCTCTGAGGCTTGTTTGCCCTTGATGTTTGCCTCTTGCTTTGCGTCTCTAAACAAACACCGACAAAAGGTCCATTACTCATTGCCAGACTGAACTAATGCAAGGGACCAAATAAGTACTACGCCGCCAAGTTATTCCACATGAGGGGCCTGCCGCAAGTAGAGAGGACGCCAACCACCAAGTAAGGCCCTTCCCTTACAAGCCTTGAGGGGGCACCCCTTGGTCAACATCATAGGAGACCCAGCCAGGGCAGTTTCTCGAAAAGAGCCTCTTGCGTCTATGTTCTTGCTTGTCCGCTTTAGCTTCTTACCTGGGGGGCAGGGGGGCCCTCCCCTTTAGCTTCTTGCCTGGGCGGGAGGGAATCCGCCTCCCCCGAAAAAGTAAAGGATCCGCTAAGACTCCCAAAAGGTCAGCATGGGGTCTGCTGCTGGGTTCATGTCAGCTTCGGTTTCCTCAGTCCAACATCAGGGGTGATGCACGCCTTAGGTATGCCTCTGCCTCTGGATCAATCAATTTACCCCTAGACAACCAAGTCTTTCTGGGGAGAACACCACAAACTGAAGCCGTTCGTGAGTGATTGAGTCTTCCACCCCCGTCTGCAACCATTGAACCAGCCAATTGTCGCTGGAGACGGGACAACTGCCTTTCCCAGGTTGGGGTGCCGCGCGGAAAGGGTGGGCCATGTCGCTATTCAGCTGAAAATACTATAGTGCACAAACCTGAACTAAGGAATCCCCAAGTACGGGCCCTTCATCTTGCGTTTTGGGCTTGTTCAACCCCCCATGACGGCACGACACTGATCGGGCCAGCAGGCCCTGGACGAGAGCAGCTATTTTTGGCATTGCATGGGGGCTGGGGGAAAGGGAGGGGAGGGGGGAGGAGCCCAAATAAGCCCCAAATAAAGCCTTATTAGGGGCTTAATAGGGGCTTGAAGGGGCTCCCTCCCCTCCCCTCCCTCCCCCCAGCCCCCATGAGCATTTGGTATTCAAGGAAAAGCCTCCCAACTAAACAGTAACGTTGTCAGGGGTGGTTCAACAGCACCTACAGGTATTGTGTGACAGGATTCACCATTGTCGCATAATTTTGTTGTTTAGACGAGTGATTCAAAGATGCTCGAGAGTGCTGCTACGTGCTGCTTGGGCCAACCGCTTGTTGAGGCTTGTACAAACTGGCATTGTGTTTGCTCAAGTTCGGCAGGCATCAACAAACGCATCATACCAAGACGAAGCCGCGCTTCTTGGACGGCTTTTTGGGGGGTCCCGGGGTCCAGGTCCATTCGCAGCCAAGTGATCGTACACCATGCCAAGTGGCCTTCGGAGCGCAAGCACGGCATTGGCGCGTTGCGCGTCTTGGAGCAGAAGTCGCCCCCACGGCCGCCGGCGGTTTTTTTTCCCCGGGGGCCCCGGCATTTGGCGCAGAGGTACATCAGCGTGCCTCAAATGCCCTCCCTTTCCTCCCCGGTGGCCGAGAGAAGCCGCCGAGCAACGGGCAGAGATTCCCAAATTCAGCCGGGCCTAACAAGGGAAGTGTCGCTCAAACTGAATTCACCCAAACTCCATTGCAGGAAGAGCTGCCAGGAGAGTCTCATAAGGAAAAAACGGCGTGTCGAAGCTGACGCAAAGCTGCTGACACTCCAGAACTTCAAGCTTGATTCTGATCCAAACAACCCAGCTTCCCTCCGATTGGTGGTTTGGGCTGGTGGTTTGGTGATTAGGGGCTGGGGTTTCCCATTCAAAACCTCTACAAGACCAGGGGTTCAAATCCAGATCCAAACCCGCCAATCCAAACCACCAATTCAGAAACACCTGGTGGAAAAAACCAAGCCGCGAAGGCTCCCTCAAGAAAACACAACCTTTCAAACCCAAATGACAATCCTTGCGGAAGGGGCAATGGCGCTACCAGTGACGCTTAGCGGAGGTGCGCTTTTCGCCAGTTGAAAACTACTCCAATTCCCGTCATGTTGGATCGGCAAGGTCATTCTTAGAATTCTTGCAGACAAAATCGGCATCCGGCCTCCCACTGCCACCACGCAGAAGATCTCCACAACAGGCCTCGGGAGAGGAGAATCGACCGGGCCATGTCTCGTGGAAAAAAGTGAAAGGGCGATCGATTCGGTACGTGAGGTAAGTGTGGGTAGCCTGTAACCGTGAAGTGGTGTATCATCCGCAGGTCATCGCTCACACCCTCAGGCTTATCGGGGCTTGAATGGCGAGAGATCGTTGTGATCCAGCCAGTCGCGCCGCGTCGAGGCATAAGCCACGACGTTCCGCTTGAACCTGTCCATCTAGGGGAAACTTTGTTTTAAGCCCAGGCAATACCCCCAACGGCACCACACCCTCCCAGAATCCTCGCGGAACGCCCTCACCGCCGGTGTTGCTGAGGATGCCGCCTTGCAACTTTATAAAGCAAGGCTGATCGGGGCCCGACAGGGGCGCGATTGGGGCCCGAGCCCGGTCGGGGCGTGATGGTGCAATTAAGGGGCCCGAGCGGGCCCGACGGCGCAACGGGGGCTTCAGGGCCCGAGTGCAATCGGGCGGCCTGACGGTGCAATCGGCGCCTGATAGGATCCGAGTGGGCTCGATAGGGGCCTGGCGAAATCGGGGCCTGACGGCACAATCGCAGCCCAATCGCGGCCCGACGGTGCAATTATAATGCGCAATTGGGGTCCGATCGGGGCCCGACGGTGCAATCGGGGCCCGGTCGGGACCCGACGGTGCAATCGGGGCGCGATCGGGGCCCGAGCCCGATCGGGGCCCGATGGTGCAATTAAGGGGCCCGAGCGGGCCCGACGGTGCAACGGGGGCTCAAGGGGCCCGATCGGGGCCCGAGTGCAATCTGGTGGAACCCTGATGGAACCCTCGTTGAACCTTACCTCAAATCACCCCGGACCACCCCTGCCCTCGCAGAACCTGGTGGAGAACTTTGGTGGAACTCTCGTGGAACCTTACCTCAAACCACCCCGGACCACCCCGCAGCGCTTGCAGAACCTTGTGTAAATCTGGTGGAACCCTGGTGGAACCCTGGTGGAACCCTGGTGGAACCCTCGTGGAACCTTACCTCGGGGCCGCCCCGGAGCCTATCTGGGCTGAGACCCCAAAGCTTTCAGCTGTTGGGGGGAAAAAAAAAACTTCACGCACCCACACACTCAATGACACACTCACCTCCTGTATAAGCCACCTCCTGTATGCTGTGAGTACGTTGAGCCCCTGTCAGTTCTGTGGGGTGTTGCCTTGGGACCTGCGGGTTGGAACCTGCGGGTTGGAACCTGCGGCTTGGAACCGGCTTTGGAATTTTCTGATCCCCGCCCCTGGGGCTTTGGTACATCTGAATCCCCCCCTCACATCTGCGAGTGGGGTGGGCTTTGGGAAATCTGAATCTAAGGTTGAAAAAGGGAGGTGTGAAAATTCCTTCCATCTCTGTCGAGCTGCTCTTTGTCTCTTGGCGCCTGGCGATTCTTGGCGCTTTCTTTTGGTTGACACGCTTTTGGTGGGATTTTAAGGGGAGCCGCAAGGAAAACCGCAACTTTGCAGGTTGTATTCTCAGACACACCCTCGTTGCTTCTTGCACGAACAGCTCAACCCCTATTATTGAGACGGCATGCTGAGTCTTCAGCTGAACGCAAAAAACAAGCCTGAAAACATCTGGGCTTTATACTCGTTTTGGAGGGGGTTGGGTGGGCCGGGCCCCTGTCGGTTCTGTGGCTTATTGTCTCCGTGCGCAACCCCGTGATCCGCATACTTCCATATTCTTTCGGTTGCTCCCCTACGCCAAGACTGCTGATTTCATTCAATCCCGCCCGCGCATGAAGTTGGCCTGAATTGAGCCCCGTCAGGTCGGGGAAATGAAGATGCAACTCATTGATCACCTATAAACAGAAGGACCCCCCCCTTCTGACTCAGCCAAGGAGCCAGGGGTGAGAAAAATATACTTTTCCAATTTCAAGCATCAATCCAGCCTGGGATAAAAACCAATGCTTTCCCTCCCGGCAAAATCTCGTGTAACCCCGTGGGAAAGCCGCGTTCATCCGTTCTGATGATATCTGGGATCACTTGGCTCTGGGCAAATCCTTCGTCCGAAACTGGAAGAAAGAACCCCCAGCGAACTGACCTTCATGGCTTTCATGGCTCGTTGACCTCAAAGGACACATTTGACAAATCGCTGAGACCAAGGCATCCTGGCAAATGACACAGCAAGCGGTTTTCGGGTCCCCCCCCTCCACCCCCGTTTTTTCTGAAACCCGGAGCGTGCCCAGTTGGGCAACCCCCGCGGCGGGATGACGTCGCCAAAGAGGAGCAGAGGCTTCAAGATGTACTCCAGCACCTGAGGTCGGTTTGGTGATTCAACCTTTTCAACTCACTTCCAGAGTGGATTGGCCAGAAAAAGTCCAAAAAAGAATGGTTGCCATTGAAACGGCCTTCCCAAAAAGTGCAGAGTCAAACTGGTCTACAGCTCACATCAGTTTCTGGAAGAAAGACATCGCCCCAAAAGAGCCCCGAATCTAGGTTGCTAGAAGGTTGCCAGTCAAAGGATCATGGACATGTCCGCAAGTTCCGTTCATGGAAATGACCGCAAAAAGATGCCGACTCAAAGGAAACTACTCTGCGCTCTCCGCTTTCAGATCCGCCAAGTGAATACGTTTTATTTTTTGTTTTGTGAAAGAAAGCTTCTCCTTGGATTTTTTGTTTTTGGTCTTTTGCTTTTGGTTTTTTGGAAACCCAACCAGCCAAACCAACAAAAAAGAGCTATGGTCTAAAAAGAGGAAAAAAAAAAAGGAAAAAAAAAGGAACCGGACCCCCCCTTCGCCACCGTTTGTACACTGTCGATGGTTTACGGGATGCTCATTCCATCGAGGAGAAGGCGGAGCCAACAAACCAAGAAGCGCCGGCACAACTCTCCGGCCCAAGGGCTTCGGTTCGGGCAGAGCCGCACATTGTGTTGCTTTAAAAAAGTCACATTTTACAGGTGTTTATATATATATATATACATAAGAGTGTTTTGGTAACAACCCAGTTCAGGAACTCAAACCTTCTTCTAGTGACCGGCTGCCACTGTTTTCCCCGATGTGTGTCAGAATAACTTGCCTTAAGAAAGAGGGGGACGCTTCACAAAAGGAAAGCCGAAAGGACCGGGATCGCCTTCTGACCCCTTGCAATGAGTAAAGGTTGCTTTCCGCATGGGGAAACCGAAGCGAATGTTATGCACGCACGAGAACACACACACACACACCCACCCACCCACGCACGCACGCACGCACGCACGCACGCACGCACGCACGCACGCACGCACGCACGCACGCGCGCACGAGCACAAACTCGCAGAAAAAAGGTTCGGTCAAAATGTCAAGTGTAGTCTATGGTCCATGTCGGGTTCAGGACACGGAGGCCCACACTACCCTCCTTGCAGAAACCTGCAATGTCCTCTTGTCGTACAAACATTGCAGCCAAATAATGACTAGTAGTGACTATTGGTAACTGTTCGGGGCCACTAAGGACTATTGAGGGCTCTGAATCAAAGTGGTTCTATCAAAGATGGATGGGAACAATCGGCGAGTGTCAAGGGTATCCTTTGCAAATGGTGACCTTTCCCCCTGGTCGCAGTCATGCTTTAAGCATGGTTTAGCATAAGGCCAAAGATTCCTTCTCCCCCGAAACGGCCGAAACTCTGACCGCGACTTTGGCGCCAGACGTCCACCAGCACCTTGAGGAGGTCCCCTAGGGGACCCCGGAATAGGATCAGCGCCACCTCGCCAAAGGCTCGCCAGATTTCGTATGGGGCTTCTGGGAATGAGGGAATGACCTGACCCTTTTTTCATCCATCCCCTATGGTTTCCTTTATTCGGGAATGCCCAAACGGTTCATTCTCAATACCGACGGTCATTCCCTACCTATCGCACCAGCAAGCGAAACATTCACGTGGCCTCCTTGTGGCGTCCTTTGAAACTTTCCAAAACGGGGATCCACTTTGAGAAACCACTAGGGTGTGGCTCAACATGGGGATGTGATTTGGTTGAAAGCGGAAAATGATGGAAACCCGCTTGGGCCAAAGATTGAATAGGTAAGCCACTGAAGGCTGTTCAAAGCCACCTGGAGCAACCTGAGAGGAATTGATTGGATTCGTTTGACGAAAGGCACGGCAAATATAAGCGCTTCGATGATTAGAATGGTGGGATTGCGGTGTACTGTAAAATCCGATTCAGTCTTCATGTATCCGCATGAGGCCTCCTCTTGCCGGAAACATTGAAAACTAGTGTGTTGTTTCAGTATTATTGGCCTCCTTCAGGCTGCAAAACCACCGTGTGTTGGGCATCCGTGTGGCAAGACCGTTGAAACGCGGAAGTGGGAAGTGAAGAGGGAATGAACGGGACATGACGCTGCAATGACGCTGACGTGCGGGCAAATGCCAGGACATGCAGGGCGACAGCAAGCGGAAGTGACTGGAAGTAACAATTGAAAGGAAATGAAGGGGGCCATGACGAGGAAATGATAGGACATGACGGGACAGAAAAAGAACATGAAGGGGCAATGACGTGGAAAACAAGGAAAAACGCATGGGATTCGAAGGGGAAGTGAAGCGAGAAAAGGGGGTACTGCAAGACAAATGCACGGAAATAAAGGGCAATGAACCCTGCCTCGGCTTAACGCAGGGGAAGGCGGACTGACCCGGAGGCCCGGCGACCAAAGTAGGGGCACTTCAAGGCATTGGGAAGCTCTCAGTCAGGACCCCTCGATTCCGGGCCTCAAGAGAAGCCACGCCCAAACCATTTCCTTGGTTGCTGTTGACCCCCCCTGCAAAAAGTTTAACTTGTTTGGGGGTTTAGTGGAAAACGCAACTTGATTCCCCCAAAACTTTGTGTTAAAGTGCAAAGATCCAACCCAATAGCAGTCAAGCAAACCATTTCTCTTGCCCGCTTCGTTTTGGACCTGAGCGCCCACAGCCCCCGAGGCGCGGGCGGCGATGGCGGCGCACCAGAGCAGCACCCGCAGCCGCCCCTCGGCGCTGCTGAGCTCGCGCCGGAGGCTGCGGCAACACCTGGCGCTGGCGGCTGCGGGGGTGCAAGGAAGGAGGGGTGGGGGATGCGGAGGGGGCGTCCAAAAACCGCCCGCCTTATCATGTTTGCCGGGGATGCCACAAAAATAAGCGATTTGTGAATGTGTGCTTTGAGGTGCCCCTTTGGGTGGGGGCCATGAATCAGCCATGATTGCAAGTCCACAACCATGATTTGAGGTTTGCCCCCCCCCCCCCCCTGTTCTTGAGGTATGGACACGTAGAGTCTATGCTTCAACCACCTTTCGAAATTTAAACCAAAACATGTCTCTTGTATAATACCCTAGCCCAAACCCCCCCCTTCCCTCCCCCAAAAAGCATATTCACCACCACCACCCCAAAAAAACATGTCAACCCGCATTACCCCAAATTGGTTCACCCCCCCCCATATGACCCCTTCTGAAAGGATACATTCCCAATGGCCGAAAGGGGCCCTGCGACAAACGCGGCTTTCATGTTTTCTGCCGGCTTGGTCGGCAAGGAATCGGGTGAGAAGACCCTCCCAATTTACAGGAAAGCCAAGAGAGACTGGCATCACCTCGAAAATGGAAGGCGGCGCCTGGAACTTAATTTAATTGGGAAGAAGGGATTGCCCCTTGCCCGGGTTTGCTCAAGGCTCCCTGTGTCCAGCGAACCCATGAGAGCCCCAAGTTTTAATGAGTGCACCTTACTCAAAACCGCGGGAGTGAACCCAACATGGGCTCCATTTCCAAAAAAATGCGTGCGCCTCACCCAACACCACATGGCTCCCATGTCCGAAACATGTGACCATTGGAAGAGACAAATCCTAGCGGAGGGCGCCGGAATCCCCAAGTCTTGACCTGATGGAAGGGAACTCCTTTAGACGAGGGGGATGGGTCAAAGTTAAGGCACCAGGACAACCGCAGCTTGTCCTTGCGTCCCTTGCTTCCATATGTTTGACCCACAGAAAAAGGTGTCCTGTTTTGTTAGATTCCTTTATTGGACCCTGATGAACGACTGGGGCGGAATAACATTCGGCCAGGTGAGCATTGGGCACTTTGGGGGCACTTTGGGGGTTCCGGAACTCGCACCAAAAGTTCATAGGAGGCAGTTTCGGTTCTAGGACCCAACCGTAGCCGCCCACAAGGCATGACCATGTTCTAAACCTTTTGCTGGGGACTTAGCCCGACCCAGCAGCTTTTCTCCGTCGGTTTTAAGCGCGGGCCTATCCGTTTGCGCTGAGGTGGGCCTTGATTTTCCAAGTGTGCCAATAATTCTTGGGATCAAGCCAGAAATTCTTTGGATCAAGCCAGAAATTCTTTGGATCAAGCCAGAAATTCTTTGGATCAAGCCAGAAATTAGTTTGGATCAAGCCAGAAATTCTTTGGATCAAGCCAGAAATTCTTTGGATCAAGCCAGAAATTCTTTGGATCGAGCCAGAAATTATTTGGATCAAGCCAGACATTCTTGGGATCGAGCCCAAGAGCGACTATTACCACACGAGTTGAGCCGATGGACCAAAATCAGCCAGCCCCACACGTGGCACAGGTTGCAGGGGAAGCAGCCCTGCAAGCAGAAGCGTGAGCGGCGAGCCCGCAAATCCAAAGTCATGCATTTACCGCCTTTTTGGCTGACAAGTTCAGTTAAAACAAAAGGCAGGGTGGACCATAGGATTTGTTCCCATTACACAAGACCCTCTTTGAAGGCCTCGCTCGCGCTGTGCACCTGAAGGCAAAAAGAAGGTGTGCTTGTGTTTGTTCCCTTTCCGGGGGATCAAAAGTCAGAAGCAGCCGCGGTCGAAAAGCCTTTTGCGCAAAAAGTTTCAAACAGAGCTCTCGGGGTTGAACAACGCCAATGGAGCCACAAAAGGGTAACCAGGTGGTTCTTTTACCCCGCGGATCTCCATGATTGATGCTTGTGTTTCTCCTCCAAACACGAAGGAGACCGAGGCACCGCTGAAGGTCTGGGCATTGTTCCATAGAGTTGTCTGCAAGCGCTTCTCCCCCCCGCCGCCCCCGGGCACACGTGTGCACGCACTTAGATGAGAAAACTGTGTTTTTTTTCCCCAGCCCCTGCATTCTAAGCCGCAGTGGGCCAGGTTCAGGGCAAACCAAATCAAACACGCCGAAATCGAGAAAAACACTTGGCTGTTGGTCAAAAATAGGTACGCATACATGGCACCTGGTAAATGGAAACATGGACTAAGATCTGCGGTCCCCTGGCGTAATTTTGACCCATGCCCACTCGGAGCTTCCAGTACCTCAGGATCCAAGAGGCCAATTTTCTGAAACCCCAACGCTGGCGTAGGACGAACCGAGCAAAACGAGAGGGAGCAAACCTACATGTCTCTGGGTCCTTTCGAAATGCCAAGCCAACAAAAGACAGCCAGCTTTTGAAGGAGATGTCTGTTGGTGTCCTTTTCAATGCAGAAGATAATAGGGAACAAACCAACAAAAAACCGCCCAGCTTTTGGAGACGCTCGGGGGTCTCAAAAGGATGGCAGCATGCGGCTCCCCTTTTGATTCGCCATGGGGCTTCGGGGCACCAGCCCCGAAGCATCTCGGCATCCCTGAAGCTCCTATCCGAGTCAGAGAAAATGGGAGGTTTTTCGGGAAGCCCAAAGGAAAGCCACCAACTCTCTAGAAAGCGGCTTGGATGCGCTGTTTGTGGGTTTCACCCGGTTTTCTTCCTGTTGGTTCCTTGCTTTGGGGATTCTTTTAGTACTCTTTTCATATCCAGGGTGGATCCACAGATTCGCCACATCTAAACCGTTTTTCCAGACTTTGGGGGCCCCCCTAAAAAAAAGACACCAATCCCCATGGCCAGGTCCGCCTCCTCCTCAGCCAGCTGGTGATAGCCAGTCAGCGCCTGCTGTGCCTGCGCCTTCGGACACAAATGGCATGGAGTCCTCTTGCCCAGCAGGGGCACACTGAGAATCACTTTCTCTGCCTCTGTTCCATATCCTTTCGTCTATCTCAAATGTGAAACAGTTTCGGGGCAGACCCCCCATGCCCCATGATTGTTTGAAACATGAACTCAAGCCAACTCGTTTAATGGCACACGTCTGGTGAGAAAACGAACGCAAGCCAACCTTTTGCGATACCCTGCTTGGTGCCCAAAGAGAACTCGCTGGAAACCGACCCCCGAGCCCGCGAGGTCCAGGTGCCATGCAGACCAACTTGGTCGAGCCATACCGTGCACACGCGCAGATACACAACAAACACAAAGACACACACGCGCGCACACACACACACACACACATTGTGCGCTTTGCTGTTTGGCCCTCAACTCATGATAGGCTGGGTGATAACCCAGAGTCACTTCAAAAATGGGAGTCGTGTCAATGGCGCCATCTTCCAAGGTGGATGTTACATGCTGAAAAACGGATGTCAGGAGACAGCCAAGATACTCCACCTCCTAGCCGGAGAATGCACTTCCGCTGTCTGCAAATGAAAGATTGATCCGAGATCCCCCCCAAACCCCTAGACCAACCCCACAAAGCAGAACATGGCATTGCCATCTTATTCACCTGTTTGGAGGGTGTATATATCTTAAGGAGTATCAGGGGTCTGGACGGGTTCTCTGCACGTGGGAGGAAACGAATCTTCCCAAACTCCGTACATATGAAGTGCCAAAGAGCGGGGGGGTCTCTATCCTCTTGCGGATCCCCCGAAAGGTAACAAAAAATACTAGGACCTCCCCTCCCCCTAACTTGGTCCATATCTGGGGCGCACGGAAAATCATTCTGTCTGACTCTTCCAGATTCAGTTCATAGAACACGTACCTTTGGATTAAAAAACCCCCCACTGAAAACTCCCCGGAGCTCGATCCGAACTCACCGCTAGGGTGGCTTTCCCAGAGCCAACTTGGAAGTGGAACCGGCGATTTGAATGGCTCGTGATGAAGGTTGTCCGGTAGCAGCTTGGACAAAAAGATCGTTCTCAACATGGGATATGAGAGGAAGAGCGGAGCGGATGAAGTGAATTAGGGACCCTCTGGTGGACATCATTTAGGTGGGGATTTGTGTCCGCCAACCAATTTCAGAGGTTCCCCATGAAAATGCATAGCCATGTTCCGCCTGAACCAGGGAGACTCACGATTTTCCCCCGTGCCAATCATTGGCCCGGGCAGATCCATCGGCGAAACACCAGATGCGCCTCGGCATCTGGCCTCGAGATCGATTCGGGATCGAGGCTGGCAAGGCTCTTTGGAACGGCTTTCCATTTTGGGCTGAGTGAAGATTTCAGCTTCCCTCAAACTGGTGGGTCGGCAAACCACCAATCCAGGGTTCCCTGAACATTTCTGGGAAGGGTGCAGGCCTTGGGTCCGGCCTTGGGGGGGGGCGAGCGTTTGGGCCACCAAATTTTTGGGGCGCCGTCGGGAAAATGCAGAGGGTTTTTTTTTTACCAAAAGAAGGGAGGCCATGCTAGCAAGATGGGTATGAGTTGCAATTCGCGGACCCTTTGCTGGACTGGGATTCCTCCACATGGACCACCCAGTCCCTCGTCGTGGAACCCAACAGTGACCCATGCAGCGTCAAAAAATATCAGCCACTCGGCCATCAAGGAAGGCAAACAAATCCGCATGGTCTTTGCATAGCCAGAACGCGGTCTAAGTCATGCTCAGAATACGTCTTTGCAGTAAAGAACATGGGCAAGTTGGTAAGCCTTTTGGTTTTTATGGGATGTTTGGTCAGGCCCAGCCCCCCTGTCTAGACTACCTCGTATAAAGCTTCTGGCAGGCAACATGATGTCTGCCGCCTGCCGTTAGCCTAACGGCTAACGGCAAGCTCCATATCTGCCACCATCCAGCTGCATCGGTGCGTCTCAAACTGGGGGGGGACTGTCAGACAGCTCAATCGTGCGGTCCAGACTGCCTATTCACCCATTGAGAGTTGGTTCTACCGATGCCATACATTATGCAACTAGAATGTAGGCTAGAACTCCCTACCAAAACTTGGCACGCCCAGAAATAAGCAAGGTCCACTAAGATTCGGTTATGCGCCCTCGAGCAAAAGGCCCAACCCGCCTGGACATGCTTCAGCCTGTCTCTTCAGCGCCAGAAAGGCCTGCAGTGGCAGTGGGGGAACCAGAAGGCACTGAACGTCTCACGATATGACATAAGAACATCATCTGTCGAAATCGCATCGGCAATTCAAAGCTCTCCCTAGCCTTGATGCAAGCACAGCCCCTGACATTGCTCCCCTAAAAGAGATTTCGCCGCAAACGAGTAGGGTTCCGTTTGTGTGTTTTCGCTGCAGCCACCAGGAAGTCTGGAAGATGTGTCAAGGCGTCAGCAGCTGACAAGACATCTGCAAGCACGTCGTGTGTTTAACAGCCTGACATGATTGCACGTGACATGACCACTAGAATGATATAACCGCATTGCCGCATAGCAGCTCATGTACTCCACAAACAAACTACAATCCCCTCAATTCCAATCACGAAACAGCATGGCCACATATCCTACACTTTAGTCCAGAGTGGCTACCCTCCCACCAACTAAGATTCGACCTGGCTGGACCCTTTGAAGGCTGATTCCCCGTACAACCTTCTCGTGGGTCCCATGTTGCCGCCTTGGACTTTTGGGGCATTTCGAATAAACAGCCCGGATCACATGGTAGACTGTGCTATGGGCGAGGGTCCTCTCGCTGTTTTTAGATTACGGTTTGCTGGACTCTTGGCCAACCAACCCACCAACCAAGCAACCAACCAACCATTCTTCTGGGTGAATTATAATATTTCACCAACCTGAAATAAGGTGGTTGGGGGGCTATTCCCCACATAAACCACCATTTGAGGTGAATTCGGTCGTGTGAGGTCGTTATAATTCACCCAGGTTCTTGCGTATGACAAGAACAAGCCAGGCCAGGCCACTAACCTGGAGAAATGAAGGCAGAGTCTGGGCACTGGAGGTCTGAAGGGACGGGGGCAGTCGGTGTATCACACGCCTACATTTGCCTTTGTGTGTGTGTGTGTTTGAGGGCACCCTCTTTGGGGTGGTTGTAGAGAAACCGAAAGGAAACTCACCATTCTTGTAAGTCCCCCTGTTTGAAAAAGCACACCGACTTGCACGATCTGCACATCGACTTGCGAAGTGAACCGTGGGACTTGCCAGGCCTGAAAGACTGCACGGGAGAACCAACGAAACCGGCCGGTCTAAGCAGTGGATCTTGATTCTTGCTCGTTTGGTGACTTAAACATGTTTTCTGTTGTCAACAATAAAATTCAAAAGAACCAATCCGCTTTGTATACAACTTGTAACAATAGGAAACATACCACAAAACATCGGCTTAGGTACGCTTCAGGATCACAGACTGTAATGTCTGTATGGTTCGATCATAGATGTGTTCCCCGCTGTTCATTGGCGCAATCTGGCTGTTTGATGTTCTTCTCAAAGAAAACAGTCAGTTCGGGTATGGATACGGAACCTGTGACTCAATCCGTCCGTGTGCAAGGAACAGGTGTGCCTGTGTCTGTGTGAGATCTTCCCAGTCTGCACGGGTGAGAATGGTTTTTCAAGTTGGCCGCCTCCTTCCCTCTTCCACGACAAGCAAAGCTCCAAACAGATCTGTTCGATGAAGCCCTGATGCTCTGCTGTCCATGAATTCTACATCCGCCTACCTCCTTTGACTCCTGTGGCACTTGCCATCGGAGTTACACAGCTCTTCCATTCGGCTCCTGAATGATTAGGCTTGCAAAAAGAAAGAGCCGCCGCAAACTGAATCGCTGGTCTACTTGGGTCCAACCGGGTGAGTGTGTCCCATGCCCTCTGACAAGATGATTATAGAGGAGATGCTGAAGGTCGGGTGCAAGACACAGGGGCCCACAGCTTTGGAGAAAAAGGCGGTTCCCAAAAACACCAAAACGGAGGGGTATAGCCCAAGGCAAGCGTGGACCCACTTCCGCCTGGTCACCCTGGAGCCAAAACCGGGCGCGAGCAACACAGGTGCCATCAAAACACTCCTTTCGACGCCATGAGGACCTGTCCAGCTTTAACATCGATGCAACATGTCAAGAGATTACCTCCATTTGCGTAAATGAGATAAAATATGTCCAGTAGTGATAAATGTCCTGTAACACAAACAGGGAAAAAGTAACATATATTCGAAAGCAAATGGAAGACTGTGTGATTGCAGGGGCCGCCTTTGCGGCGGGGAGAAAAAAAATACACCAGCATAGACCCCAGATAGCACACCACGGCTACGAGCCATGACGCAGCATTATCACGATGATGTAGACAGCACCATGATGATACCACAGCCACTGAGCATGGTGCGCTAAACAGACGCGCATACAACGTCCTAATGAGCTCAGCAGCATAATGATGATGTTGAAGGCATCATGCTGATACACCAGCCACGAACAAGTCCGCGCTACATATCTTGCAGGAAAAGGCAAAGACGACGTCCTGATGAGTTCGACAGCATCATGATGATGCGGACAGCATCATGATGATGCGCGCAGCATCATGGTGATGCGAACAGCATCATGCTGATGGTAAAGGCAGCATCAGGATGATACCACAGCCACGAACCATCTTGCAACAGCGTAATGAAATTCAGCATCATCCTGATGTTGACAGCATCACGGCGCCACTACACCCACAAACCAAAACACAAGCTGATGAATGACGTGGTTGGGAACATCATGACGATACACCAGCCACGAACCGTTACGCCCGAACAGCATCCACCAGCACCCCAAACTGCATGCTCCACCACCACCCCAAACTGCATGCCCCCTAGCACCCGGCCGTCAAGCTCGCAAAACAGCATCCACCAGCACCCCAAAACGCATGCCCCCTAGAACCACCAGCACCCCAAACTGCGTGCCCCCAGCACCCGGCCATCAAGCTCGCAAAACAGCATCCACCAGCACCCCAAACCGCATGCCCCCTAGGACCGGCCGTCAAGCTCGCAAAGCAGCATCCATGAGCACCCCAAACTGCATGCCCCTAGCACCCGGCCAGCTCGCAAAACAGCATCCACCAGCACCCCAAACTGCATGCCCCGTAGCACCCGGCTGTCAAGTTCGTACAGCAGCATCCACCAGCACCCCAAACTGCATGCCCCCTAGCACCCGGCCGTCAAGCTCGCAAGCAGCACCAACTGCACGCCCCTTGGCACCCGGCCGTCAAGCTCGCAAAGCAGCATCCACCAGCACCCCAAACTGCATGCCCCTTAGCACCCGGCCGTCAAGCTCGTACAGCAGCATCCACCAGCACCCCAAACTGCATGCCCCGTAGCTCCCGGCTGTCAAGTTCGCAAAGCAGCATCCACCAGCACCCCAAACTGCATGCCCCCTAGCACTTGGCCGTCAAGCTCGCAAAGCAGCATCCACCAGCACCCCAAACTGCATGCCCCCTAGCACCCGGCCGTCAAGCTCGCAAAGCAGCACCAACTGCATGCCCCTTAGCACCCGGCCGTCAAGCTCGCAAAGCAGCATCCAACAGCACCCCAAACCGCATGCCCCTTAGCACCCGGCCGTCAAGCTCGTACAGCAGCATCCACCAGCACCCCAAACTGCATGCCCCTTAGCACCCGGCTGTCAAGTTCGCACAGCAGCATCCACCAGCACCCCAAACTGCATGCCCCCTAGCACCCGGCCGTCAAGCTCGCAAAGCAGCATCCACCAGCACCCCAAACTGCATGCCCCCTAGCACCCGGCCGTCAAGCTCGCAAAGCAGCACCAACTGCATGCCCCTTAGCACCCGGCCGTCAAGCTCGCAAAGCAGCATCCACCAGCACCCCATACTGCATGCCCCTTAGCACCCGGCCGTCAAGCTCGTACAGCAGCATCCACCAGCACCCCAAACTGCATGCCCCTTAGCACCCGGCCGTCAAGCTCGTACAGCAGCATCCACCAGCACCCCAAACTGCATGCCCCTTTAGCACCCGGCTGTCAGGCTCGCAAAGCAGCATCCACCAGCACCCCAAACTGCATGCCCCCTAGCACCCGGCCGTCAATCTCGCAAATCACTTTCCACTCTTTATTAGAAGTTAGAACCCCTATAGCTTTCAGCTATCTGGGGAATAAAAGTGAGCACCGAGACAAGTCCCAATCAGTGGCGGGCAAAAATACAACATGAGCTTTTCTCGACAAGCAAGTGACCCTTCCACCCCACCCGTCAGCAAGGAATTGGCAGACCAGTTTGGGCTAGTTTGGCGGGAATCCGGATCATGTTTGGGCAAAAACCTCCATTCTAGCAGAGCTGCTGACAATATTTCCACGACAAACCGATACGCCATCAACTTGCAAGACCGACAAGTGACCAGCCAACACCCACATCCCTTGGTTTGAACCCTTTACTCAATGTACCAGCTGGTTCACGCGAAACCAGCCCCCTTTCAAGGTAGTTGGCTTGTTTTCGGCAATTCCAGGCAGAACCTGGCATCAGCCTTTGCCGCTCTTGAAACTGTCAAAGTTCCCGCAAAAGATGGCTCCAACCAGCATCTTCCTTTTGGGGGGCTTGGGGGCAAGGGCAAAGCCCCCTCATGGTGCCCACTGTCACCAAGCTTGGGAACATATGGCAAAAAGGATAAAAAAGATGCGTACCCAAAGTGGCTTGCCCGATTTGTAAATGGCTTGCCCAAGACCGAAAAATTCCCGCGGTTTTCCTGGTGGGTTGGTTTTGACCCCTAGCCATATCTACCAATGCCTTCGCTCCACAAGGCTGTCAGAAGGCCGCCCTTAAGCCATCAAGATCAGCGCTCAGGGGAAAACCAACACGGTGGCGGCGAACCAAAGAACAAGCCATTAATAGCTCCGCAATTCTCGTTGATCTTCCTTCACTGCTCTACCTTGTGAAATCCCTGTTGCAGGTTCCATTTGCTCCTTGGGTTTTCTGACGATGGCTTAAGATTTGCCGCGCTGCAAATCTCACCCGAGTCCAAACCCCTGGCCACTCGTTGCAGGATCTTTTGTCTGGCATTTTGCGAAGCGGCGTGTGCTTCGCAGCGGGATCCCCCCTCGTCAAAATCCGTTAGCCGTTAGCCCTATGCACCTGGGCCGCGACAAGAAAATGGGACGTTTTGCAATGTTCAGCTGCATCGCACCATGGAAAACACGGGCCAAAATGATCTTTCAAGATACTGAGGAGATTGACCAAAAATCGTCTGTACCTCTTCCCAAAAGTGACTAAAGTCCAGGAGCTCGGGATGTGAAGTACACTTCTTGGGACTTGAAGTTGAACTATGTTTGAGTCCAAAGGGTCATGACAGTACATTGCCGCGTCAGGATAGAAATCTGGCACTGTGTGTCGCTTCGAGCAAGCTTCTTGATTGAGACCTCTGTCACTGGTCTTCAAGCCCCGCAAATGGAACGTGCTGCACATTGCACATTCCAAGGCAAAGGGGGCGAGGTTTTAGCAACCCGGATCGGTGAGCTCGAAAATAGGAAGACTTAGGGAGCCGATAACCCCTGTAAGCGAGGAATAATCAAAACCTGGTACATTAGTTGTCTACCCAAAACCAAGTCAACGGGAGGCCACACCCATCTGTGGGATTGCTCCATGTCAGCCAGCCGGCAACTACCTGATGAGTCCCAGGTGTTCCTCAATCCCCCTTTGGTGAAATGAAGCATTGGATCCTACATTCTCCAGTGGCTCAAAAAACCGGAAATGGAACCCTGCGAAGTCAAAACATCGACCAAAACTTAAACCCTGCGTAACCCCTCCTGCACACCCAGCTGAAGATTGCTCCCAAGCGGTTTCTTCCATGCAAAGGGACACAACCGATGAGAATCCAAAAGTTCTGGTTGGCATTCAGCAAGGGTCATGAGTCATGATGTGTCCCACCCAAGCGTTGCATTTGTTGAGTGACAGCTTTCAAATGGCCAGCACTGCAGTTGCCAACTGGTCCTTTCAAAAAAGCGCAAAAATGCTGCGACCCCTCCCATGCAGCACGGGTCATCCGCCAGCTGCAACAACTGCAAAGCTGCCCAGGACCCCCTCCAAGAAACAGGGGTCATCCCCAGTTGCCCTCCGACACTACTGCAAAGCCCTCCGAGGACAAGCAGAAATCATAGGAAAGCTGCCCAGAACCCCTGCCAGGAAAAAAGGACATCAGAGGCGCTGGCTCAGGAAGCTGTTTGCTTCACCCAAACGTCCACCATAATGGCCTGACCATTCAGCAGGCTCCTCAGCCAACGAGTCTTCAGGCTGAGTCCCCCGAAACCGTAGACTGGTTGAGGGCTGGCTGGTCGAACATTGCTGTAAGTGACCTGAACAGGCTGACCTGCAAAAGGTGACCTTCGAAAATTCGGTTTATGGGAAAGGTGACCTGAAAAAATGCAGCTGCCCACAAAACCGCAACAGTTCAAAAATGGAACAAGCCGCACTGGACAAGCGGCCGGAGGCGGCAAGGAACGTGCTCAGCAAGCAAGATTCGTTGCGGCCGACTAGAAATACAAAGGACCAATCAAAACAACTGCAACTCACCAGTATCACCAAAAAAACCGAAGAATCGTCAAGCCTCCAGTTTCCGGGAGCCGAAGAACGCCAAAAAACCCTCAGGCGCAAGAACGATCGTTTTTTTTTTTTTTTCCCGCCCGTTTTTCCGTTTCCTTCTAACACGATCCTGCTCCAGAAAGCCCGCGTTTCTGAGGATGCCGATAACTTACCAATGAGATATGTACCCTGAAACGCCAGGCGTTCCAGAATGAGTGCGTCCCTTTGTTGCTGTACCCTTGTTGGTGTGGTTCAAAACGCAACCCTTTGGGGGTTCACCCACTTGAGACAAGCCCACCACATAGACCCAAGACAAACGTGCATACTGACGCAAACAATGCAAAATACTGACCGAGTCGTCCCCAAATGCAGCATGTTTGCGGAGCAAACAAGCGAAGTTCACAAACCTGACCTCAGGAATCTCTAAACTCCGAAAGGGTCGAGCTTCAATTTTGCCCGCAGGACTTTCTTCCCGTCCCCATCCAAGTCACAATCAAAACCTGGTCCGAACACCAGGCAAAGGATCAACAGGGCCGCGACCTTTTTCAGGGTTTGGACTATCCATGGGTGTGGGAAACCACCCTTTCTGTGACACCAAAGTGGGACTCTTGTCATCGAACAACTCCCGAAAGGTATCACAGGAAAGTGCGCTAAAACCCAGTTTCCCACAACCACGGGACTGTGCACATTGGAGTCAGGAGCCAAATGAACCTTACAAAAACCAACGCGTTTTTGATATGACGACCCATCCCCGAACTTTCGGTCCCGTTCAGCATGGTGATGGCGTTCGCTGCCTCCTGGAAGCCCATTCAGAGTCGGCGCGGGAAGTTGTTTAGCCCGGGTGCGATAGGGAATGACCGAGTCCGGGTGTTGGGAAGCTACAACATTTCCCGAAAGGCAAGCAGTGGAAATGGTGTTTTTCTTGGGGTTAAGCCGAACACAGCTCTGGAATCTGAGGCCCAAGAAACACGCACCAACCAACTCACCTCTTTGGGTCGACTCCTGAGCTTCTGCGTAGCACCATGTGCCATCGACGCAAAGGCCAACATGAGAACAAGATGTGGGGGGTTGTCAAAACTTAGGTGCCTTTTCTGGTAACCGCTTTAAAAGGCGGCACAAGGCGGCACCAGGGTCCAATAAGGGACCATACATATGTTTGACAAGCCTCCATGCGGCACAAACACAACACCGAGAAATAAGAACTCGGAAGAAACAAACAAACAAAACATTAACAACAAACTGTATGTGTTACACACACACACACTCCAACAAAAGCAAGAAACAAAAACCAAAACAAATCGCAACGCATCGTCTGTCGCCCCCCTCCCCACCCCCCTTGCAGTTAGTTGTTTGGTCGTGGGTTGCCTGCCATCGGAAATTCTGCGGGAGGTACGCCAAATACCGTCCCGTGAAACTTCCTGCATCTGGTTTGCATGGTTATGAGAAATACGCCGGCGTGATACCAAAGTGGGACTCCCCTGACTGTCATTTTCAGTTAATTCGCTTGGCCGCTCACAGAAAGTGGCAGGGACTCCCCCCTTGATCCACAACCATGATATGTCTATGTGGTTGTTCATGGCTTTCGCTCGTTATACCCCCGAGCCGGCTTTGCTCGCTATAAAGTAGGCCAACAGCTCCGTCTTAGCCTCGCCGGCGCCCCTCCCCAGTCGCACCGCTCCTCGGCGGTGGAGTAGCTGACGCCCCCAGTGCCATTGCCCTTGCCGCTGAAGCACTCCACCCAGGTGGTCTTGCCAGCCTGGCGAGACGCCCAACTTCTGCAAGAAGGTGACACTACCCTCAAACCAAGGGGCCAACCCTTATGGTTTGGATTGGTGGTTTCGGTTGATTCGAACCAATACGTTTAATATCAAATCCAAACCACCGAGCCAAACCGGAAAGCTGACCAAATGTCTGGAAGTCAGAAACTGTGTCTAGTCGAAAAGCATTTGAAACCACCCAAAAGGACCAACGACCCTGCGACTTTCTCAGTTCACAGAGTCGCTTGGCATGGCAAAAAATGATGATACAAATAACAATACTAATAATAAAATGATAATAATACTAACAATAATAATAATAATAAATATACAATAATACAAGTAATACTGACTTTTCACTTAAATACTGATACTGATAATGATACTTAGGGCCCTTTTCTGCGGCGCAAGGCAACAACGGGGACTCGGAGAAGGGAGCATATGTTTGACAGCACCCTGTTGAGGCTTACAAAATTAGAATGGGGTTCCCGAGTAAAGGGATCCCAAGTGAAGGAGGCCTTTCCGAGGCTCGCAGCAAAAACCAAACTCGCGCTTCGATTCGGGAGCTTTTTGCGCGAGCGCTTCGCGTCGGGCTGCCTAAAACCCAACGTGCAAAGCATGCTCTGGTACCACTAACAAGACATAACGATTGGTGTCCTTTTGAGGGCCAAAGGACAGCTTGGTTACAAATAATGTCGTACCGGGTTTTATGCTGGTACCCTGATTATGTCGAGTTTCCTCGGCTTCAACGCGACCACCCCGCTGCTTCGGTACCATGATTTATGTCAAGCTCAAACCCCAAAAAAAAATGCCCAAAAAACCTGAGCAAAATACGCAATATGGGCAGCTGATTTCTCCCAGCTTCGTGGCTTAGTCCCAGAGTCTGCGAATTCCTGGTTTGATCCTAGGCCCCAAACATCGAAATCCTTTACTGAAATCCATCCAAAAACAATCCCAAAACAGTTCTGCAAGGGAGGTTGCCCACAAGGGGCCCTGATCATCTTTAAGGGGCACTGTTTGGGTACCACATTCAATGTCCCGGGGTGGGTGGGAAATCCAAAAGGAAGTCCTGGCAATACGAAATTCAAACTAGCCCACACTAACCTAAGCACTGGGAGTCTAAAAGGAAGTCCTAGCAACACTAAATTTAAACTAGGCAATGCTAAACTAAGCACTAGGCATCTGAGAGCAAGTCCTTGCAATACTAAACCTAGACTAGGCAATACTGAATCAAGTGCTGGGAATCCAAAAGGAAGTGCTGGCAATGCGAAACTAAGCAGTGGCAATACTAAAGCAATACTTAAGTCACCCTAGCTCCCTGCCGGACCTTCATTCAGGATCCCCGAAGAGCACTGTTTTGACTGTTGAGGGGGCATTAATCAAGGTCCAACATTAGATGGCACCGGCTTAGATTGGTTTTATGCCCCGCTTACCAGGGAAATCCACCAATAATATTGTTTATTTCTCCAAAATGCAACCTATGGACATAACACCCGTTTCGCCCCTGACCCTTCTATCTCTGCCGTTTGGCCCGAAATGCAGGAACCGCTCGCCTGGTTCATATGCTCCTGCAGGGCCTTCCAGTTGGTCCCATCCGCCAGATTGCCAATCCTCGGCCAAACGAGTCAGCCTCCGCCCACTGGAAAAAAGCGTTTGCAGTCTCTCACCAGAAAATGATGGGAGCATCTCATCAAACACGATCAAAACCCTGATGCCCACCCCTCCACCCCCCACCCAACACAACACATGTTTCCCCTTTTCCCTGCCCCCCTTCCCCTCCCCTAGCAAAACCTGAAAAAAGCCCTTTGCCGTGGCTCCAGCACTTCAGGGCCGGGTCCACCTTCAGGCCCTTGCCCTGCGAGAGAGAGAGAGAGAGAGATAGAGAGAGACGGGGGCGCGCCAAGTGCAACCCACACCGGGGGAAAACACATAATTATATATATATATATACATATATGTATATATATATATATATATATATATGTATACATACATGTGTATGGTTGTAATAAAAAAAAACAAATCATTGATATAAAACTCAACGTATATATGTACATATGTACATGAGCAGAAACGTATACACCTATATACGTATGTACCTATACGATACGTATGCTCACATAAATACATTCCCACAGACATATCTAAATAGATATACATATATGTATATATACGCATACATTTCTAGATATATAAATATACTAGTTATGCATGTATGTATGTATGTATGCATGTACCCATGTGTGTATGTATGTATGTATGTATGTACGTATGTGTGTATGTATGTACGTATGTATGTATGTATGTATGTATGTGTGTGTGGCTAACTAGATGGATGGATGGATGGATGTATGTACGTGTGTGTGTGTATGTGTATGTATGTGCGTGTCTATGGCTGGCTGGATGGATGGATGGATGGATGCATGTAGGTGTGACGTAAGTATGCGTGTGCATGTATGTATGTATGTATGTATGTGTGTGTATGTATGTGTGTATGTATGTCTGGCTGGCTGGCTGGATGGATGGATGCATGCATGCATGGATGGATGTGTGTACACGTATGTTCATGTACATGTATAGGCGTATATATATAGAGAGTAGTGTGTGCATATTTGGTATTCATACATATGTATACATCTACATATAATCTATGTAGATGTGTACATATTCATGAATACCACGCAAATATATATGTATCTGCATACGGTTCAACGTATAGAGGCAGGTCTGTGAGTAGAAGGTGTATACCTATATACGTATGAAACCAGACATATATATATATATATATTGTGTGTACAGGCCGCCCGCAGGTTGGGTATAACTCTGACGCTGACGACATTCTGACGACACATTGTTTGAAGACACATCACCATGACCACGCATTGGAAGACGACACATTACCCCCGGACGACGCATCAGTCCCCTAATACTAAAACCGCTTTTTCAGAATCCGAAATCCGCGAATACTACTTTTAGACTAGCCAATACTAAACCAATTCTAAAGTATGCACTTCCCCGCCCGAGCCCAAATCCAGCCCTATTAGGGGGACCCGAGAGCACGTTTCCTTTACTACGGCTGCATTATTACAACGACACATTGGGACGACACATTCCGTGGCGACGCATTATGACGACGCATTATGATGACGACACATTACCTCCTGACGACGCATTGCCCGGCGGCGGCGCATTGCGATGACACATTGGGTGACAACACATTCCCTCCTGACGATGCATTACCCGGCGGCGACGCATTCTGACGACAGAGAGACGACGCATTACCGCCGGCTACGCATTGTAACGACACATTGGGTGACGACACGCTACCTCGTAACATTCATTGTAGGACACGGTCTTCTCATGGACAAGGTGGACGGGAAAGGAAGCGGTTCAAAAGTTGGTCTCGCCGCTTGCAAAAGCGGCGGCTTTCTCAAGGAACATGGACAATGAACACACATGTTTGCAAACTCTTGCGCGAAGCGTCCACAAGCGACAAGTCATGGCAGGCACACTTGCGCTCCCTCAGCTGCGAGAAACGGTGCGCTTCGCTGCGTAGGGTTTGACTAGCGCGCGTTGAACCAAAGAACGACCGGGAGCCCATAGCTTACGGGGGGAGTTGAGAAAGATAGCTACTGAACAAGATTCCTATCTGTCAGGCTGCGTGTTGCCACCCTATGGCAGGCACACTTGCCCTCCATCAGCTGCAAGAAGCGATGTGCTTCACTGGGTAGGATTTGAGACAACTATGAGGCACTTGGGGCAGCTTGAGCTTTTAAGCCCGGGCGCCATCAGAATGCAGCACGATCTTGCGAACGGCCACATCCTGTTTGGCTATTGGCTCCCAATCTCGCCTTTTGATTGGACCGGGGCCGGGGGCACGCTTTTTGAGCTTTTTGGGTTCAAACGAAATAGGCGCAAGATGGCCGCCCCCGCCTCCCCATTGCTCCCAACGCGTGTTCTTGAGCCCCTGAGTGGCGCCGTCAGTAGCCTTGCCAAGGTCCACCTTATCCACTTCCACGTCCCTTCAGCATCACGTACCTGGCCCTGGCCGTGCGTTCGACCGTTGTTCAGAAAGGCCGCCCGAGAAACGGAATCATAGGCGCTGCGCCCGTCCAAGGACACGACCGTGGCCGCCGGGTCGAGTTCAGTGGCAGCGCGGAGGAGCGGCCAAGCAGTCCGTCTCGCTCGGCTCGCGTTTGAGTCCGAACTGGTACGGCTTGGTGGCTTCTTGACACCAGCCACTGCGCAGTACAGCGCTGCAGCTTGAAGGTTGAAGGGTGCTGCCAAGTTGCCAGCTGAGATAAAGAAAACGGAGTGAAATGGCACACAGGTCCTGCCAAGTAGCCATCTGGTAAGTGGCCCCCGACGCCTGCTTCATGGGGTTCCGCTGCCCACGACTCCATCATCCGCACCACTTCTGTGGGCAGTTTTTCGAAGAGAAGGTTGGACATCCCTCCCTACAGGTAGACGGAACTCAGTGGAAAGATAAGCCAAAAGGTACAGAAGACCATGTATTCTTTCACCTTCCTTTGGCCTCTTTCCATGACAGGCCTTGCGATTGTTTGGGAGGCTTTTTGGAAGACACTTGACAGATAGTTGTCCGTGAGTTGTTAGATAGTTTGCCAGAGAGTGGAGTCAGTTGCCAAACAGTTGACAGACGAAAGCCGCTGGGCGCGGATCCTTTGGGGGGGGGGGGGGGGGGGGCGAGCTAATATATATATATATATATATATATATAGATATATATATATATATATATATATATATATATATATATAGATAGATATACTTGTGTGGTCAATACGTGTATATATATATATATATATATACTATATATAGGTATATGTGTACATATATATATATATATATGTATGTATGTATGTATGCATGCATGCATATGCATGCATGCATGTATTTCTATATATATGTGTATAGTTGGTGTTCTGTATATATATATATATAATGTATGTATGTAGATATATATATATATATCAATGTATATATGTAGATTTATATACGAGTAGAAACGTATATACCTATGTATGTATGTAGACATGTATGTTCAAATAAGTTATATATGTATATATATATATATATATATATTGCATGTGCATGTGTAGATGCGTGCATAGACTTTTACCAAATGGATATGGGCGTGTCTTCTGAACCGAATGGGCGGTTGTGTTTTGTCTCCCTTTAAAACCATCTACAGTACCTCAAAAAAAGACGGTGACCCATATGTGTCAAAGACCCAAAAAGTGGTGGGGTGTGTTTTTTGTTTCCCTTGAAACCAACCTAAAGAAGGTTCCCTCAACAACACACAGACCAAAATCACGCGTTCTACCGATTCCCGGTGATTTTGGCAAAGGGAATACAAGTGCTGCGATGGCGACCCGCCCCTCCGCAGCCGAAGGATCGGGAAATCGACAAACTTCATCTTCTTGAAGGAATGTTCGATGGAAATCCGGACATGGTCCAAAGCCAGAATTGGATCCCCAACAAGTGGAGGGACCAGCACGTGACACTCGCTCATTGTTTTCCCGGGATCGGTGAGCTCGCCACAGTGGCGAATCTTAGGGGCACGTTGTCAGGACCCCAAAGAACAAACACCGGGATGGTACCTGGACTTTTCCCCAGGTGCGATACCGCTTCCCAAACTGCCCCCCAACCCTTTGGCCCACATCTGGGGTACCGTACTCCAAAAATATGACTTTCAAACTTGCTGTTTCATATTTCGTGTGCCCACAAAGATCCAAACAAGTGTTGGAGAGTCCCCCGGCCAATCCGCATTCTGCGAACTAGGTGGAAACTGAACTCTCCCCCCCCACGCCCCTTCTCTGTTTCCCGTGCATTGCTCAAACCCTCGGGGCTCAAAGCCCACCAACACCGCAGATGTCATCAGTCGCACCTCCCGAGCCCCGAGCCGCGCCTTGCCGAAGCCCTTGCCTTTGCCCCACTTCATGAACCTCGGAAGCCGTGGAAGAGCTGGGGCCCAAGGGAAACCAAAAAGGGGTCGAGAGGAACAGCAGGTTGAACCGTTCTTTTCGGGCTACACCTTGCTGGCCACTTCACAAGGAAACAAGCGAAACAAAGGGAAAGCTTCTCCCCTGCGTCCCCTGATTTTGAGACAGACCCGTGAAAAGCGATACAATTGCCAGCCAGGATTGCACCCTTCTCAAAACATCAGCTACTCTCCACTGCACCCCAAAAAGCAAACCGCACAGAGAGAAGGCGAAAACCTGTGCTCTGAATGCTCTCGGGTTCCATTTGGGCCAGCCTCGCTTCCGATCCAGTGGATTGGCCAAGAAAGTAACCAAACCACTGGTCACCAAAAATTACAAAGTCCAGGAGAAAGTTCAAATCCTTCGGGGGGCTTGGGAGCTTCTCAAAATGGTCCCCCACCCCACCCCCGAGCCCCCTTTCGTATTTTGAAGGGAAGCCCAAAACGGAACCCACCAAACTTAGGAGGAAACCCAGGCAACACACCAAACGCCAGTCAGCCTACAGCCTACCGACTTTCCGAACTCCTCATAGTCACAGCCCCCCCGCCCGATTCGGAGGCCGCGGCATCGGCTGCCAGGGGGACCAGCCTCCCTTGCCTCCTTTGCCGCCCCATCCGCCGCCGCCGCCGCCCCAGCCCATGGTAGTCACCTGAGGGGAGGTCACAAGCCATACAGCCCAGGCTGTGTCTTGAGGCTGAACCTCCCTGGTTTGAAGGTACACCAACCCTTCGCTCACCTTGGTTGAAAGGGGAAACCACTGGAGAAACCCAAAAGGAAAGCCGAAATCCACTTCGCACCGTCTTGAGTTGCTTGGGGAGGAAGAAGGCCCTGCAACATTCCAAGCAAAGGATTTCCTTCCCCCCATCCTTGCAGGTCGAACCCGGTGCTCCCCGGGCCCTTTTCCTAAGCTAAGAGGCGTCCCTGGCCCCGCGGCGTCTTCAACGTGTAAGGACACCATTGAGGGAGCGGACCCCTGGTCCTCTTTCACTTGGCAAAGTTGAACTGGAATTCGACGGGAGCTCAGCTGTCGACAGGACCAGGAGCAGTCCTTGAAAGCTCCTTGCGGACTAGCCTTGCTAATGGCTGCGTCTGCTGTGGTACCTAGTTCACCGGCTTGAAGGGAAACCAAAAGGAACGCCGCCAGTTTCCGGTTCCCCCTGTTCCGAAGGAAAACACATTTAAAATTCTCAACTTAGGACCAACCGAAGGACGGTAATTGATATTCTGATTCCCAGCAGGGGTCCCTCTCCTAAACTTTCCGCCTAATATCACCCCTTTGGCCGTAGGGAACCGTGCAGTTTGACCTTTCCTTGGCACCAAAACTTGGTGGTCTTCCCGCAGAACCTCCCAGCCCGTTTTCTGCGGGGTGTCCTACACCCCGATTTTACCGGCCCCCCACCCCCCCATGCCCGGCCTGATCGATCTGGCCCTTCTTCTTGCTGAGCCCGATGGGGCGCTGTGCGATCGCTAGATTGGTGGGGAACTCAGATGCCCAGTGGATTTCCATGGGATCTTATTTTTTCTGGTTGGTGGACTTTAAAGGGGAAGCCTTCCCCCAAAAAAAAAGACAAAAGGGCCCCACTGGGCAACTGGGGGAATGAGAAATGGAAGGAAGGCGTTGGCGTCCCCATAGCGAAACCACTAGTTGAAGATAGTTTTCCTTGGGGTCAGACAAACCATTTCTCATTCCCTGCCGAGTTCGCACCAGCAAACTTGCTTTTGCCTCCTTGGTCAGAGGACAATCAGCCAAACTTACAAGCGATGCGTAGGCTGGCTTTGCCGCTGATTGAAGCGGTCCACCCAAACCAATAACGAATCAACAAGGCGCGGCAACTTGCTGCATCTCTCTTTGTAGGGCAAGCTTCATCTTTTCAGGCTTTCATTGTGGCTCGATGGCTCAATGCGCTGGGGGGAGGGGGAGGTGCGGGTGATGTATTTGTGGGCCCCTGCACTTACACTACCAAAGGCTCTGGAAACAAAGTACAACAACTGGTCGAGTTGACCAACAATCAAACCTGTTTTTTTTCAGCAGTCTACCCAAAACCATGGGTTTAAACAATGGCATTTGGCACGTATCCGAATCTGTTGTTGGCTGCGGGCCGTCCCTGGTTAACCTTCATTTCCCCGAGGTTTTCGTTGTGGGCTCACTCGCAACGGATGAAGCTTATGGTTTGGCTCCGTGGCGGCATCGCCTCACAGAGCCGCCTGGTAATAAAGGCGTCTCAGAACCTGTTTCCACAAAGTGGAACAATCATCGCCAAACATGAATAAAACTAAAAAAAAGTAAAAAATAAAAATATATATTTAAAAAAAAAAAAAAAAGAAAAAGCGGGGGCTTCTACTTCAAAGCCGCAAGGGAACCGTGTCTCCTTTTCGAACGAATCGCCATGATTCGATCACCTCGTTTCGAAACGGACCGAGAAACTTCTCGGTTGGAACGGAGAGCTCAGGCAGCCCACCTCGGCTGGGTCCGGTGGGGGGTTCTCGAAACTGAAGTCGATCCCCTACGAATGCTTGGTCTCCGCGTTGGGTTTTCCCGAAAAAAATGCCAACCACAGGGCTGGCCCCTTTGTTTGTTGAGAAACTCCCTTGTTCGGGCAGGCTGCTCACAAAAGTGGGGCAGGGTGCAAAACATCCACAAGCCGAAGGGTGTTTGGTTCCACACCTCCAGTTGCTTCAGTCCCCTGGAAAACCTAAGCATATTTCCAGTCATGATAGGTTCTCTTAATAACCAACAGGGGAAAGTAAAACATGTTATTGAGCAAGTGGAAGCCCCTTTTCCCTAGTGAGCAAACTCCTGGGCTGGTGGCTTGAGGGGAGTGGGCAGTTCCCCGTGGGACGTGGACAGAATGGGCTGGTTCAGCAGAGGCGTGTTGCAGACTTTGGAAACATGGGAGGGGGCTGGATTCATGTCCGGGCCGGTCTGGTTTGCCACATGCTGCCATCACCCATTGCCCTGACGCTTGCTTTGCTGTCTGTTCAGACTTGCCATTTCGGCGTTCCTGGTTTATCTGGCTGGACTGGTTTCCCGGACGCGTGCTTTTCTGTCTGCTTAGACTTGCATGGGTCGGGGGGGGATACCTACGAAGAGGATTTGAATGAAGCGTACTTCTGGTAAACTGTCCTACTGTCTCAGGCATTCGGCAGACAACAGGGGGGAAAATCTCGGAATTGGGCCCCCCTTCCTTTGGGCTGCCGCGCTACAAGTGGTACACTCAAATAAACACACCCATATGGTGAGCTGAGGCCATCCGTACCCATACCCCGATCCAAGACCAACCCTAAATACTTCCTACATCAACGCCAGCAGCCAACTCTTATCCGCCCTGAATCATTTCCGTTTCGGGATAAAATGACCCCAGTTACCGACAGGTAGCACTCAACGAAATGTTTCCCGATACCACAAATCTCCAGCGCTTCCATTTTTCAGGTGCATCTAGAAGCCTCACATGTGCGACTAGAACGACAAAGAAAGCCAGCCAACCAACAGTTTGCCCTTGCTGCAGCCTTAAAAACCCCAAGCCGGCCTCGAAGCAAAGCCTGTTGGTAGAACCATGCCGGGTTTGCTCCCGGCGGAAAAGCGAAGGAAAACCAGGGGCATCAAAGGAAACCAAACCGATGTTCTAATCCTGTGATGTGATTTGGTCATCCGGCCATGCACCCATTTCTGGGGTCAGATGTTGATGCAAGGTAGTTCTGGTGTTGGTTAAAACTAGGTCCTCCAGTAGAGAGCTTAGAATAAGGGTACCCATTTTTCTGTAGTCTATTTGAGAGGGGAACCCTCCCCCAAAAAAGGGCAAAACTGGGGACCCAGAAAAGGCAACATGCATAAAATCCAAAGGGGGCAGTTCAGTCCGGCAATGAACGTCAAAGGACTTTCTCCGGTATTCCCCCCTCCTTCCCTGCGAGCATCTCAAACAAACACCGGATTGTAACTGGGGGGTTGTCATCATATGTGGTAGCCATGACCAAAAGGAACCCTGGTCTGAGAGTTGACCAGCCCTACCAACCTCAAGTCTTGACCCAACTCTGGGCACGTGGTTGCGCCAACAAAAAGTACATCTTCAGATTGTGCTTCATAAAGAACGTTCTTTTGGAGGAGACTGAAGAATCAGTGGGCTTGGACAGTTCCTGCACCGGTTGGATTTCGATTCTTTATGATCCAGTATTCTAGCCGGGCTTCATCCATCCCAACCCGTGCAGAGTGGACTTTGTCCCTCCACAGTACGTACTGTAGGGCCCAAATGATTTGCACATGAGTCTCTTACCATGCCAAATTCTGCTTGTCTTCTTGAAATTTCAAGACCCGACGTTCGGGACCCAGCAAAAAAAGATCGTCCGGCTCCACATGACCAGGGGAACCGGACCCCCTCAACCTTCGACTTGATCCAAGGGCTGGATCTACCTGCCAGGAAAAAAAAACCTTCCCTTGCGTTTCTGAAGGGGCTGCTGGACCCACCCGGAAACATTCCTGGGTTTGTTTGGTGGTGCGACATGCGGTGGTCCATCCAGTGCCTTCTCGCTGACGTTGTTCGAGTCCCTGAGGCCCAGGCCAAGGCTCGGAGCCGTCGCGGAAGTCCTCTTCCGTCCACGCCACCAGGCGGACCTCGGGCGGTGTTCGAGCGAAAAAACGAACCGATGGTTGCTGCTTCTCAGCTGCGTAAAACGCGCTGGGGACACAAAAGGCCTCTCTTTCTTCTGGCCTCCCTTTTTTGTACCCAGCCAAGAAAAAGGTGCCCTCAAAAAAAAGAGAGAAACACACCCAGACGGGGAGTGTCCTCTTCTTGTTGATACTCTGCTTGGAGAATGTCACAGGCCACCTCTTAGTTTAGAGGTTGCTCAACTGTAGTCAGAAGCCCATATGGTTTCACGTTCAATGGGCGACCAGAAATGCGATATTGAAAACACCCATCCGCCAACTTTCTGGTTGCATCTTCAAACAACCTCGGGTTTCAAAGACCAGAACCTGCCTGCCAGACGACTGTTTCTTCACGCAGCACTTCGGGTTTGCACGCAGAAAAAAAGGCGGCAATACCACCCCCCAATATTCATACACAGCTTGGTTGATGAATATGGGGTCAACACGGCACAAGAAGTTGCAACCATTCCAAAACCTGAAATGTTTAAGCTCACATTTGAGCTCACATTCAAAAGAGGCATCTCACCAGAAATGCATAAAATTGCAACAGAGCCTTCCTCCTGAGCCTTTGTTGGTCTCTTTTCAGGCCGCCGCCCTTTCCCGCATGTCCCCGGTTTCAAGCCCCACGCCTTCTGGGTCTCCGTGAGCTCCACGTGCGCCAGCGCCAGGCTCTGCGGCGCCGGCCTCGAAAAATGGGCCATACCCTCTAGACTCGCCAAAGCTCTTTGAGTTGCACCTTGAATGAAAATATGTTGGGCAGGATCTGAGGATTTCCTCAGTGCCTAGAGAAGCGTGCCAGGAAAATAAACTGAAAAGGTATTGGCATCACCGACATATCTCTCTCAGGACTTTGGTTGTGCTTTTTGCTTTCTTCGAGGCTATGTTTTGTTGTTCTTGAAAATAATAGTCCTATTGGGCACCAACATAGTTCCCTCAGGGCCTCGGCATTTGTCGGTTTTGTTGTTTTCTTCGAGTGTTGGTTTTTCGAAACGGGAACCAAAAGCAGGCCCTGGAAGATTGCTCAAACACATGAGGAAGACTCGGTCTTCGCGCACACTAAACAAACAAACTTGTAGGACTCGACTCCCCAAAACCCCACCACTCAGTAGGTTGGTTTCTGTCCTCAAAAAGAAGTACCCCAACAAATAATGAAAAAAGGAACCACGAGCCAAGCCCAAGAGTACAAGTTTTGGCCGCCAAACCAACCTCCACTCCATTTCGCACCGCCTAAGAAGGCCTGGTGCCTGATTCGATTCCCCAACGTAAACACAAAAGTTTTGTTTTTTTGGGGTTGCAACCAGAACTCATTTCGTGGTGGCTTTGGGAACGGATTTCGCAAAACCATCCGTTAGAAGCCTTTCCGGGCCCAAACGCTTCCTCGGGTCCGGGGCTCCGGGCCCTTTCAGCACCTTGCCCTGGTCGTCGTACTCCGAGCCATGGCAAGGGCACCTCGGAGGAGGTCTGGCCTCGATTTGGGCCTCGTCTTTGCGAGCCGGGGTGGTAGAAGGCCAAATGGAGCGGGGCGTCTTTTTTCCGGTAGAGGGAAGCCCAATGACCGTAATTGCGGTCGGATGGGACCCGAAACTTCGGCAGGGAAAGGTGCTGAAGACATGTTGCGCATGCTGTCCACACAGCATATGTAGCGCCTCAGATCCACTTCCAGGATTCTATATCTTTACCTGTTTAACGTCAGCTCACAGAGAACTCGCCAATAGTCGAACCCTACTTGGGGGCTACCAAAACAATATGTCCAGGCTCCATATTCGCCTCGGCCCCAAAGGGGCCAAGGGCGCTCAGATCTCTTCTCCAAAGAGAATCTTCGCTTTTCCCCTCCCCCAACCCCCAACCAAAATTTTGCGGCCCGCCCCCCCCCTCCCCAACCCACCTGTCCGGCGGGCGTTGAAATTTTCGGGGTTCGTCGGCGTCCAGCTCCACGAAAAATTGCTTTTTGGTCCTGAAAAACATGACCTCCTGCTGGCCAGGCCAGCCCAACCAGCAGCAACCCGCCTGCTGGCCAGGCCACTCAGCCTCAGGCCCAAGCTTGTCTGAAACAGGCATGCCAGCCACTGCCGGCCCCCCAGCTCCCAGCCCACGAGACTGGCATCAGGCCCGACCAGTCTCACGTGTCTAGACTGGTCTCAAGCTACGCCAGCGCCTGTCTGACGTGCCCCAGCCCCCCAGTCCGGCTGCCCAAGCAGCTCAGCCCAAGCTGACCAGGCCTTGACCTCCTGCTCGTGTCTGGCCCCAAGTCATCCAGCAGGCCCAGCCCCTTCGGCGCAGTCTGAGACTGGTCTCAAGGTATGCCAGCCTGAGACTAGCCTCAGGCCCAGTCCCTTTGCCCGCCTGCTGGCGTGTCTTACGTGTCTGGCCCAGCCCAGCCAGCAACTCGCTACCCAGCCTCAGGCCCAAGTGTGTATGAGACAGGCCTTGCCCATCCAGCGACCCGCCCAAGCACAGCTCAGCCCAGCCCGCCCGGCCGAAGTTCCAGGCGCAACCAACAGCGTAGTCCGGCTGCCCCGCAGCCAGCAACCCACCCATGGCTTCGCAGCCTCGTGGCTGAGACTAGCTTCAGGCCCAGCCCAACCAGCAACCCGCCTAAGCAAACCCCACCCAAGCCCACCCTGTTTGAGACTCGCAGGCCTCAGCCTATCTAGCGCCGAGACTCAGCCTGGGCTCAACTAGCGTCTAGCCCAGCCCAGTCCGCCTGCTGGCCAGGCCTGTCTGACGTGTCTGAAACTGGCCTCAGGCCGAGCCCAGCCATAGCCCAGCCCCCTCAGTGCGGCTGCCCAGCCCGCCGTAAACTAGCTTCAGGCCCAGCTCAACCAACAACCCACGCAAGCAAGGCCCAGCCAAGCCGCCCGAGACTAGCTTCAGTGTGGCCCAGCCCAACCAGGCGAGGCCGGCTTGTCTGACTTGTCTGGAGCCAGCTTCAGGGCCAGCAGCAACCCGCGCGAGCAAGCCACAGCCCAGCCCACCCAAGACTGGCTTCAGGCCAGCCCAACCAGCCACCCGCCCTAGCAAGGCCCAGCCCAGCCCGCCCTGCCCAGGCCCCAGGCGCAGGCCTTCCCCAACCAGCAGCCTGGTCCGGCGCATGGCATCAATTGGCCCAACGTGCCGCAGCCCTTCACTCTGCCAAGCAGCGCAGCCCAAGCTGGCCAGCCCTAGTCTGAGCAAGCAACCCACTCAAGCACGGCCTACCCCAGCTCCCCTTCGCTTCGGCCCCCAGCCCACAGCTTAGCCAGCACGCCCAGCCCAGCCTGCCCGGCCTCTCAGCGCAGGGGAAATACAACGGCACACGCTACGGCTTCTGAGCAGGACGGCTTCCGAACATCGAACTAGCACGGGCGAACTGGTGCGGTCACAAGCTCTCAGTAGGATTCGGACCTTCCCAACACTGGATTTCGGTGTTCCTGACCCTTCCCTCAAACTAGGCTGGGCCGAGGCGGGCAACGCGAAGCGTTTACAATAAGGTCTACTCCAAAGTAAAGATATATATTTTGTGAATGAGACCCAATCCCACACGCGCTTGAGGGACCCCAGCCCAAAACGCCGTGCTATCGCCTGTGCAACCTGCTTGCGCTGCTTGCTTACACGCAGCGCACGCTTTCTCTCGCCTTGCCAACAAAGGCATGAAACCAGGACAACTCCAATCAAAAATCCTCCAACTTCATTTCTTCTGGGTCCATTGAAGCGGCATCCTCAAAGAATCACCTTTCAAATGGTGGTTTCAAGCTGGGCTCAGTAGTTCTTGAACCACCTCAACATGTCCGAACCTACAGGCTCAGAAGTGCCGAAGAACTCCTCCTCCGAGCAGGGCCGAGGCGCACGAACTTGTTCACCACCCGGTTCCAGTTGGCCAGGCAGCCTAAATGGGTGCACCTCAGCGAGCTGTTTTGTCAAGCAAACATGCGGCGATGGGCATGTCGGAAACTGAGAATCCGGTCCCCCCAAAAAAAACGAGAATTTAAGAAGATGGGATTCCTCTGGGCTCCCCGCACATTTACCCACTCAAAGGGTGTCCGCCATTTTGAGAACTCGCATGTGTGTCAGAACAGGGATTGGGACCCTTTGAACCGAGCTGAACATAAGGTACCGAGCCTCAAAAAGCTCACACCGATTCGGCAATCAAGGCCCCCTTTGGTTCAAATGTTGATCAATTTACTGGTGGTTTCCCTTGAAACTGCCACTTGAGGCTCCAAAAAGGGAAATGGCTCAGACACCCTGATTTATGAGGGACTCCGGATCAGAATGCACCGGGTCTTTACTCATCGACTCATCGGAGGTCAACAATACACCCTCAGGACATTGCGAGAGATCTTAGGGGGCCCGGACTTACCACAGACCAGGCATGGTCAGATTAGTCCAGACCCCACTTGAAAAGCGGGACACAATGCGCTGTGTTCTATGGGCTCTGGAGAGAGGGGATACTTGACAGGACCCGCATGAGCCACAGGTCGATATCTATTGTGCGCCATGGATGCTGAGCTCCATTTCCTGATGTCGCTTTGGCAAGTGTATCCAATGCCATCCCTTGACTATACTGTGCGCATTCATTGTTGCTCACATGAGCTGCGGATTCCCACGGGCAAAACGGACATTCTGCAGATGGGCCAAATCAATTTCGCACCACCTGGAAAACCCTGGAAGGATGCGATTCCCCTGCAAATACCAACACATCATGATTTCAATCCATGGTTTCATTTGGTGGCGCGAAATCGATTTTGGGGTTACCTCCAAAATGGGGTTACCTCCAAAATGGGGTTGCCTCCAAAATGGCCGATTCTCCTTTTGGCTCGCCGCGCCGGGGGAAGAAAAAAAACGATGCGCCCATTTCGCGCCACCTCCGTCGCGGCTTCGCCGCTCCGCCGCTCCGCCCGCCGGATCCTGGGCCCGGCGCTCCGCACGCAGCGCAAAGTTCCGGAGCGCGCCGCCGTCCTGGCGCCCGGCGCCGCCCGGCGACCGCTCCGAAGCCCGGCGGCGGCGAGGGCCAGTTTCTTTTGGAGGCCGCCCCCTAGTTTTCCTTTTGGGGGGGGGGAGGGAGGGTTCGTTTTTTGTTTGATTGTTTTTTTTTTTTTTTTTGTGGGGGGGGGGGGGGTTCTTTTCCTTCTTGGAAACAATGGGAAAACCCGGCAATTTGGGGAGTGCCCCAAACTGGTGAAGACACACAGTGCCACTCTTGGGAGGTGGCTGAGCTCAAATGCTGGGCCCCAAGCATCTGAGCCTTCGAGTCCCTTGAGCACCCAACCCGTGATGTTACTCTGGGCTCCCAGTCTGCCAATGATGAACTTCGGATTCATCCGGAGGACAATCTGGACTAATCCGCCTTGGTCCCCCTTTTAGCAACACATCGAATTTTGGGCGTTCCTCTGACTAGGATTCCGCGGATCCATGCGAAGATAGCATTAAACAAACAGAAAACTAAAAACACAACTTTGAGTGTATTGTCACATCCTTTCGGGCCCGTTTTGGGTTTGGAACCCGTATGTTCATCCGAGAATTGCACAAAAAGCATACACAGAAAGCATGCACAAAACACACCAACCCCCCTGAAGGGGGCAGCCTTCTACTTGCGATCGATGCGAGAGATGCAGGAAATAAGAAATGTGCTTTGACCCCTATGAACCATCCCCCTATGGTTTCCTTTGAGGTGACCCCTGAGTACATTCCCTCCTAGCCTCAGAAGCTGGTAGGGAAAACCTTTGTTTCCAAGGTCAAAGGCTGGACTTGAGTAAGTTCGGGGGGTTTCTCAAAAACGACAAGCCCCCACAAAGATCCGGCTTCCGAAGGAGCAAACGAAAAGTAGTTCCCCCCGTCCTTTCCAGAATCGTCTTTGCGCCATGCCGTGTAGCTGTGCTTTTTGACTCGAGTGGGCTGAAAGGAATCACAAGCAACCCAAACTGAGCGGCTCGCGAGCTGGCGAGCTGCTTCTGCAAACGGAGCCTGGGGACACCTATCGAATGCCCTGGCCTTGATTTCAGAATACGCTGGCACCGGATGTTTGCCGGCCGAAGGGTTACACGAATGTTTGCGCTATGATCATGACTTGAGTTGATTTTCATTTGGAGTGCTCCGCAATCTCGTTCTGATTACCGCAGGCCCTGTTTACTAACATCACACTTGGGGGCCCGCGCAACAACTGGCGACCCGCATGGTTCAACTGGCGTAAACCTCAAGTGGCCAGACAAAGGGACACCCTTGTTCGACTCAAGGAAAGCTCCCCAAGCCAAGCTGAAACGCTTGAAAGGAGGGGCTTCCACTGATGCCCTGGCTCAGCGAGGCTTTCCCCTGAGTGCTCGCGAGCCTTGCCAGGAAGGAGGAAGTACGGATCTCCTGGGAAACGGATCGCGCAGCTTTCTCCGGGTGCCCCTATGAATTGATGGGGTGAAAGGCGGCCTATGGGGCCCTCTCTTGAAATAGGCCCCCCGAAAGGGGTGCGGAGCTCCAACAAGACCGCCCTTCTAATGTGGACCCCGGATTTTCATACGCCCGTCCTAAATCGTCGGGGGGGGTGTTCCTCCAAAAGTGGTCCGAACCCCCACTCAACAAAGGGACGTGCTTCTGGGGATTATCAAGGTGAGAAATTGGGGGGCCAAGGGGAACACTCAACATAGTGTCCCTGTTACCAAACTAGCACCCTGAAAACGGACACCCCCCAATCAACATCAACCAGAGGGTCTACTTAGAGCCGGGGTTCCACAAGTGCGCAAAGCGGGCGTGTCAAATGGCATTGCCACACAGATACCCTGACTTTGGGACAGTTTCCAACAGCCTTCTGTCGCAGGTCCCAACCACTCCTCCAACTTCCCATCTCAAAAGTGGTTACAGAAAATCTGAAGGAAATTGCCGAATTAGCTGAATCAGCTGTTTGCTCTTTAGAACTTCCTGTACCTCAACCCTTTGACCCTCCTTCACACATTTTCACCAAGGTAGGGGGGCTTTTCTGAGGGTACCTTCCCCATTCTTTCCAGGGATCCATCTTTCTAGAAAACCTCCGCAAACCCAGGGACAACGGCCGGTTATTGAAAGGAATGATGGTTGAAAAGAATGGACAAGGAATCAGCCCCTAGAGCTTTCCCTCCACCCCCACCAAAAAAAGAAAAACACCAAAACAAAAAAAACGCCCCCCAGAGCTTTCCCTAGAGCTTTCCCTCCAAAAAAACACGCCCCCCGGCTTCTCCTCGGCTCCCCAGAACCCCCCCCCCCCCCGGCTCCTCGTAGGCCCAGCACCAGGTCCGGCTGGCCCTTGGAGGCCTGGGCCCAGCTCGCCACCTCGCCGGCGAAAGAAACCAAAGCGGACCGGACCCCACACCCACGGATGACAACGGGCGGAACACGCCTGGAGAACACGAGGGCCGCACAAATAAGGGGGCCAAATATGACGATAATGATTATAAACACAATAATGAGTCATACTAAGTCTAGTTGTAGTAAATGGCCATGGGTCAAAATCCAAATCGTGCCCCCAGTGAACATCCCGATCCCCACAAAAATCGACTAAAATGGGTGGTGCACCTACCCCAAAATGGTACCATTGGTCTTGACCCGCAGCCAAATAGCAATAGTAAACAATAGTGATAGCAATAACAATCATGATGATGATAATGATAAATGAAGTCATAAGATAGTAAACATGCTTAGTACAAGGGGCTAAACAGTTTAAACAAAGTAGAATATGTGGTACTTTAACACCAAATTTTAGACATGATTACAGGGGTACACTGTTCGTGCTTGCTTTGCCCCTTGTTTAAACAGCATCCTCTTCCCGGTGTTCCCTTTTTTTGTTTGCCCCCTCCCAACAACGTGGACGCAAGGGCATCATGGAAGTGGACAGGCAGTTTGCCATCAAGAGCTATCAAAGTCGAAACACTGAGGTCAAACCAACAGGCAAAGCGCAAAAACAAAGTGCGCCAAGTTAAACAAACATTGCTTGACCCTTTGCAGACATGGGAAACATGGAGAGTGCCTTGGTTGTGGGAGATTTTTGTATTGTCCAGCCTTTCCAAATGTGAACCAGTGTGAACCGTCATTTTCGTTTTCTCCCCCCTTTAGGTGCAGTTGGTGTCTAACCCACATTTTCGAACGGCGATTTGCTGAGTGTCCCCAATGTCACTCCTTTGATGTAGTTTCTGTTTGAAACAACGTAGGGCACCTGTTTCAATCAAACAATGAGTCCAAAGATCCGTTGCCAAAGATCAATCAAGATAGGGCACTTTTTGGCGGACATTTGGAGATTCATGCCCAACAACTTTTGATGGTGGCTCCTTATTAAAACTGATCGCCAAGAGAAGCTCAGTCTTCAATACACAACTCCGAAGCAACGAACACGGAATTGGAGCCTCCACCGGCTGAAAGCTCTTGTCCTGCGCCTGAAGCTGCAAGGCATCGCTCACATCTGTCCAAAAATCCGACGGGGCAATTCTCACAATGGAGCTTTGGCTTTGGCCAGATTTCCATCCCTGTTGTACCACCACAAAAGGGCACCGGTTCGGTTGCTTTCGTAAGGTGAAGGATCTTGTGGATTGCCTTTGAAACAGCCCAGAAAAATATACCTTTGTGCTCAGTTTCATGTCATCCACTCGAATATATCAACTAGCTTTGGAGGAGACCCGGAAAGAGAATGGGATGGAGGTTGGGATGGTTTAAAAGAATGTTTTTCAAAAAACAGAAATGGGGGGGGGGGGGGGGGAGGGAGGGGGTGGGGTATTTGAAGACTCACCAGGCAAAGCCGTCTCTGCGCCCAAGGCCCCGGCCACCACAGGCTTCGGAGGCTTCTTGGTCACCAAAGCACCTGGCGGCACATCGTGGGGCACCCGTAGTCTAAACCAAAGCGGTCTGCGGTCTGCCCACGCGGTCTGCTCCCCAATTTTGAGCCCGGAAGAATCAGCCTCACTGACTCACAAGTGACTCACAAGTGAAGAATCCTCTCTAGACTGGGATGCTCTGCCAGGAGGTTGCTTTTCCTGGGTTCCCATTACTCACCTCAGACCAAAAAGATGAAAAGACCTCTGCTCGGAAACGCCATTGACCGACAACTCCAAGCAATTCCAGTGTGTCCACTTACCACACAGGTGACCAGGAAAACTAACATGCAAAACTTGGAGAAAAGAAACTAACCTACCATAGCTTGGACCCAAGGTTGGTTATGGGCTTGCCGGAAGGAGGCTGAAGGCTATGATCCCACGATGATAGCCCCAACTAAGGCCGATAAGAATCACCTGCGCGCGAGCAGGGTTGAAGACAACTCTGCCTGGAGCCAAGCAAAGACTTACCCCATACCCTTCATGTAGGCATTTGCAGTTGGGCCCCTGTGGTAAACAGGGGCGTGCAAAAATTGCGGACCCTCTTTCGCACGTGGTTTGAAGGGAAGACAACAACAAGGCCCCTCCTGCCAAGGCCCCTTCTGCCAAGGCCTGAAATTTTTGCAGACACCCGTGTGCGAACATGCGCGGGGCGTGGTCATGGATCGTTTCCTCTAAATCAAAAATTGCGGGCCCATGGCTGAGCCACCAATGGGAGCTTTGACCAGAGGCGCATCTAAATACGGAATCATCGAAACGTGGTGTTGGATTCCAGATCAAATAGCCCCCAAAAGGCTACCAAGCCAGTGAATTCGAGGCATCTGGGGCCACCACTCGCCGGCGCAGGCCCTGGCACCTGCTCCCACGTCCACTCGGCTTCCCTTTGAAGTAACACGCCCCCCGTAAAAAAGCCGCGCCATTTGGTTGGTGGGGACCCACACCCCAGGTTCGGGTTGGACTCCAAAGGCGGGTCAAGACGGGGTGTCAAAACCCCAGTTGCCCAGTAGGGAGCCTCTGAATTTTTCCGAGACGCCCCCTTCAAAAAAAATATGTATGCAAATGCACATATTTCTATATGGTCACCACCGCCCCCAGCGCCACCTTTTTGTAATCACACGTAAGTGGTGTTCCTGAACCACATCTTTAAAGAAACAGGGAAATACCAGAGCTGTTGAGCTTGGTTGCTGACACAGGTCTGCTGAACAATCCGTGGCGAATGAACCACGCAAACAAGAAACCAGAAGCGGCATCTGGTCTTGAGTTGACGTCCAGCAATGTCAATAATGGTGGCCCAGCCAGAGTGTTGTTTGATGTTAGAAAACAACACCGAAAATATGTGTTGGTTTGCGCTATAAAGGGGGCACATCGGTCACGAAAAGAATTCCAAAGGCAGGACCAAAAATGGGAAAAATGTTTTACCCTTTTGATTTGAGCAAGGTTTCCAACAGGCGACCAACTTGGGAGTCGAAACCCTTCTGGCTTCTGCCATCCCAAGGTCCAACAATATTGTTGGAACCCCCCCGAGCATGTCCCTGTTGGGAAACTAGATGGGTTTCCCTGGTGGATTGAGCCACCGAATAGTCAACCAGGAATCGCCCTCGATTTTCAAACCAAATCAACCAAACAGGACACCCATGCCCCGGAGCCTGCACCAGGCGGGCGGTGAAGTTTATCCCCTTCGTACTTCATCCAGCGCCGATCGGTCCGATCCACAGGTCCAAAAAGTTGGTCCGTCCGTGTCAGCCTGCCTTCAGCAGCGCCAGCGCCACCTAAGTCGCCCCAAACGAGCTGAAACGCTCGGACAACGGGGGCGTGTCCCATTCTCCTTCCCGCAAAAAGACCTTCTCTGCACCGCTTACACGCAGCGGGTACCCCACTCCGACTTGACAGTGCCGGCAAAAGGCCTGAATGTCCCTGCAGGCAGTGAAATGAAGAGAACCAGACATGCACAACATGGGAACTGTGTCTAGTTGATCAAAACCTGCTGGCCATACACTTCTCCCCCCAAATCTTGGCCACGCCGAAAACCGGATATCGTCCGGAAGCTGCTTCAAAATTACTCTGCCCTACATATCATGTACTTTTTCTGGCCTCGCTATTTTACCATGATCAATCAAGGTCACCCCCGACGTGGTGGGTTAAAGAGAAACAACCCCATTTTCTGCCTTTCATAACCCCCAGAAACCGTCAAAATGATGACACCTGCTTTTTTTCCGGCAGACCTCTGCGGCTTCCCCCCATTTCGACCTCCCCAAAAAGCCAACCAGCCGGCCGAGACCAACTTTTCCCTGGCGAGCAGCGGAGCCCGCCGCCGCGGCGGCAGCCAAAGACCGCCTGCAGCGCGGGCGGTGGCCGCATCGAAGGTTTGACTTTGGGCGGGGGGAATGTGGACCCATGGCGGTGGGTCGGTCAAAAATAGGTACCCATTTTGGGAATGGTAAATGGACACATGGACTAAAACCTGCAGTCCCCTGGTAGTTTAAGATTGACCCGCAGCCATATGAATCATCAGCCCCGGTTTATCAGTTGGGGGGTGCTTTTCCCGGGGTGAAATGTGAGGATTTGTTTTACATTTTTACTGTTGAAGGGGCAACACTCCCCTGTTCTTCAACTGGGATTGATTCATGGGGTCAGCATTGGACCTCGTCTCTGTGGGCACCCCCCTCCATTCCCAACAAAACGGCCTCCAACATTGAGTCATTGAGCTCGGGCTCCGGAGGCTCGAAAAAGCCATGGAGGGCAGCTCGGCCCGGCCCCCAGAAACGAAGGGCCTACCACAGGTAAACCATCCCAAAGGCACCGGCGTTTGCACCACCAAAAGCAGGGCCAACCACGAGCCACTCTTGACAAAAAAATGAAGAACCGGCCAATGGCGTTCGAATTCTCGGCTGGCGGAATCAGCTGCTGCCACTTGTCCCAGCTGTACAGGTCTCATTTTCGCGAGCCCCGCGCCCTTTCGCCACGTGGCGCTGTCTGAACCCCGAGCCTGGGCAGCTCCGAGACCTCGGCGGTCCAAAATTTTAGTGGCGACCCAGGAGCTAACATCTGGCCGGTGATCGGAAAACGCCCCATTTTGCTGGTGTCCTCCTTTTTCGCGGGGAAATGGTCGTCCCCTGCTCCGCCCTCTGAATCACGCAGCAAAAGACCAGGCCGAACTGGCGTGATCAATGCCGCAACCGGTCATCCCCTGCTCGTTTGCTCGTCCCTTAAACCCAGCCAGGCATGGAGGTCGCAAGGCAAACCCTCAGTGAGTTCGCGATTTCATTTGCGCAGAAACGAAGGGTCCGAACACATTTCGCCGAGTCTCCACAGACCTGCCTGAATCAATCGCCAGCTCTACAAATCGCCCAAGCGAAGGCTGCATGCTGCACCAACATGCCTTCACCGACCTTGTCCATGCCTTACAGCTTCCGCTGAATCGCGTGCAAACAGAACACCCGAAAGTCACATGCCATCCCGTACAAATGTGGCAAGCTAAAGGAAGGCCCCCAAAATAACCACAAAACAACGCCCTCCGGGCTGCATGACTTTCAGTGCGCTCCCACATGGATCACAACAAAACAAACAACAACACCTGGAAAAATTATCAAGATCCCCCTCTAACCTGTATCTGCCCGGGCGTTGATCGTGGCTGCTATGCAAACCCAACAGGTCCAAGGTGCCTTCGGGTGTGACCTGTGATTACTAAAGACCATCCGTGTGGCCGTGGGTCAACACCAATGGGATCTCTTTTTGGGGTAGGTGCAACACCCATTTTAGTCGATTTTAGTGGGGATTGGGATGTTCACCGGGGGTACGGGGTTTTGACCCATAGCCATGTTTCCGGGACTCTGTGTTCGGGGGGCGGGCCTTTCCGTAGAAGCAGGTTCTCACACCCGCTTGCTGACTCTCGCAGCTCTCAGGCACCAGCGAAGCAGGGTCCTAGCGGCAAGCCCATAATTTCCCCCTGCGAGTGTCAGCCTCTTCTTGGCCCTGTGAGTCGAGCGTCCTTGTGACGTTGGGGGAACACCATCATGTTGGGAAACCCAAAGAGGCTGTCAAAGATAGGGCCGGTTCCTGTGGCAACCCCACAAGAAGGAAGCAGACCCAAATTTCTGACGCGCGATCCAAACGACGCAGCCAGCCCGGGCGATCTGAACATCCTTCCAACCTGACCCTAGAATGCTTCATGAGCCCTCGCGTGAAGGTGAGCGCAACTAAAGCCATTTGACAACGTCAAGGCAAAGAGGTTACCAATAAAGAGTGTGACTTGCTCTGCGTGCGAGTCAAGGCGCGCCTGCTAAGGAAACATATCAAAAGACGAAGAAACGAGAATACTGGAAGACAAAGAAATGAGGAAAGAAGCACAAAACCTCAAACAAAACAACGATGGAAGAAAGAAACCGAAATAATGACATAAGTATCTAGCTAACAAAGAAGAAAGAAAGAAAGAAAGAAAGAAAGAAAGAAAGAAAGAAAGAAAAAGGAAAGAAAGAAAAATGGAAAGAAAGAAAAATGGAAAGAAAGAAAAATGGAAAGAAAGAAAGACACATCAAGAAAGAAACATCAAGAAAGAAGAAAATAAATGAGGGAAAATACAAACAATGAAAATAATGTGTATATATACATATACATATTGTATGTATATATATATATATGTATTGAAAGAAACAGAGACAGAGAGATTGCAAAAACACTTGCTAGTAATTATTACACCCACTAAAAAGCAACAACGGCAAACAGCAATTGCGAACCTCGTATTGTCTCTCTAAACCAAGGTTGCTTAAGGTACCGGGCCTCCGAAAAACGCACATGTTCGCGAACCTGAGGCCCAAAGGCAGTGTGCCACTTGCAAAACCGAACCGGCCTTTGGACCGCAAGACGAAAGCTGCAATGTATGAGCCCTCATTTGGGCATTGTTTTTTTTTTCATGCACTGCATTTCTCAGTCCTGCGTTTGGGCTGGGGCGCAGAAGTCATGCACATGCTCAAGCACGTCGCGTTCTGATCAGGATGCCATCAAAAGTCAACTTGGATCCGAGCTTGTGGGAAGCTGACATGCTACATGTTCCAAAAGGTGTAGGTTAGAGATCAACTCAACGAGCCAAGCGCCCGAAACATGGCCTGCTTCCTGCCTTCGGCAGTCTTGCCCCCATCTGGCCCCAAAAAAGCAATGTGAGACCCTGGAGAACCATGGATGAGGAGAAAGTGCGCACAAACTTTGATTGAAACCCCCGAACCAAAGGGCCCTTTCAAACAAAATCACCCGGTCAAGCCAAAGATCGATGGCCAAACCACCGCCGAGCCCATTGAGTCACGCAGCCAAGGTGCTGCACACCATGGTAACGAAAGCCAGCCTCGGTTGCAGTGCGATCAGGGGAGATCTGATTTGGCCGGCATCATTTGGGTCAGAGTCATTATTTTGCCACCAGGAACCCGCAGGTCTTAGACTTTGGCTCTATTTACGAGGGTTCCACTTGGTGTACCGATTTTTGGGCGTGAGTCTCGGGGGCTTTGGTCCAAGGGGTTCAGGTAAGCGGACAACCCGATCAGTCTGGACCAATGGCTTTGGGCGGCGTGCACACCACGCTAAACCAAAGCCCCCCCAGATCAGGGTTTCTGCTACGTCTAAAAATGTGTTTCTCAAAATACTCCCAAAAAAAATGATCGTCTCCTTTTGGTCTCTCGTTCAGCCAAAAGGGGGCGCCGTTTGGAGAACCCAAAAGGCCGCAAAATAAATTGCGGAAGGATCCCGCCGACCGCAGGAAGTTTGGAGGTCCGAAAAGGGCCTCTGGCCCCACGTCCCTATATAACCAGCACTCCGATCGGTAGCTCTTAGAGACTCCCAAGACACCAGTTTAGAAGATTCGCTCTGTAATTTTATTCCCAAGGTGAGAGCTCTATTTTTCTTCGAGCTGTTTGTGAACAAGAAACCCTCAAGAAAGACACGATATATTTCACTTGAACGGGTCAAAAGCCCCGAGCTTTGCTCACAACATGGTTCATGGAACATGGGCCCTTCTCCGTGATACCAATGGAACCCTCTTCCCAAAGATCAAAGGCTTGGAAGATGAAAGTCGACTGCAGACCTACACCACCCTCCAAAATAATGGGGTTGTCGGTACTAGTACTTTGAAACCAAAATCCAGTCATGGTCCATGGTTAGGTTAGCAAATGGAATGTAATCATTTTAGCCCCTGTGGTGTATTCATCACTTATGCTGAAAGCTAACCTTCTAGTGGGATGCGTCATAAATCTCTCTAAACTCTAAATGCAAGTCCAAAAGTCTAAGGAACCGTCTGGCTGGGAACCGCTGAGCTCTATTGCCTGCGTTGCCTGGGCTTCGAGCAAGGCAAGGCCGCGCGCCCTCATGGCCATCTGCTTGGCTTGCGAGTGTCGAGTCGAGTTGCCGCTTTGTCTCGGTTGCTTTCTGCTCCCCTGGTAAAAGTTCAGCTTTTGGTCGTTTAAGGGAAAACCCACTGGTTGGCAAAAAGTTAAAGTCCTAACACCCAAGCAACATACACCAAAGTTGTGGTACATCACCCACCCCTACGTTTCACGAAGATTCAGTGACCCCATGCTGGCGATTTGGGGTTCATCTTTACATGCATGACGCGCGTGACGCCACCTGATCCCACAAAACAGACTCTCCACCAGCCTTTACGCCCATGGATTCTCATGTCAGCAAATGGATGCAACATGTGATGGTCCAAACGTTAGCCCAACTGCAAAGTCAATGCTCCCCTCAAGGCCATCCGCACCGTTCACAGTCCATGAATCTGCGGCAGCTTCGATGCGACATCTGCAGTCATCCGAGAGCGCGGGCTTGACAAATGAGTCTGACCCTTTTCGGACGACAAAAGCCTGTGGCATGAAATCTGGCCAAACGACTTGACTTCTGAGTCGCAATGAAGTGAGGATTTCGAGGAATGGTGGTGTTTCGTGGAGCTCATTCGTCTCCAAGCTCTACTTCAATCTTGCCCAGAGACGAACCATGCGAGTTTCAGAAAGGAGTTGCGCCGCTTTCGCACTAGAATCATCCCATCTTGACCTTGCATCGGCAAACAAAGCATGTGCAAAATGCAAACACTGCTCGCTGACCGAGTCTTTCGCTCTCCGTTCGATGGCTGGCTCCTTTGCACAGCTGGGCAAGCAAAGATTCTGCAAAGTTTACTGCAGTTGCAAAACCTCAATACGGCATCCACAAGTAAAGGACCTGCATCATGGTGAGCTCGTTTTCCCCCGAGGTCGTCACAGAATAGACAGAAAGATTCAGTGACCGGGAGCAGGGATTGGCTCCTGCAGGATTCCTCTTCTGGCTGACTCAACCTTTCCTCACATGTTGGTATGAGACAATGATTAAACCAGCGGACCTACCTATGTTCCCGTCTTTGCTTGGTTTCGGAGAAGAATGCTGCACGCCCTTGCATCCCCCCATCCAACATCCTGAAGTGTCTGATGCGTGTTTGTCAAGTTGACTGGTGTGGCTAGGTTCTATCTTTAAATTTTGCAGAACTTCCAACACCTGAAGTAAGGAATCCCCAAGCCTCTATCATGGTCCGCTGGCAGCCCTCCAAAATGGTTGCAAAGGTTTGTATCGGACTTCCACCAAACCGGCCAAGCCAGACAGTTCTAGAGGCTTAAATATAGGTTTATTGTGGTGGTTATAAAGGTTCTGTACTCCCTATAACCCCTCTGAAGCCAGGCAGACCAGCGGTTTTCGGCGCATTTGTCGAAGGGAGGTTGTCTTCCCGCTCTCGGGATGACTTCGGCTGCCTTCGTGTTGAGTCGCACCTGGCACTGTGCGCACCAGAAAATGGATATGCCCACCCTCTTATTGGTGTAGGAAGTGGCCCGGGCATTCTCTCCTAACAGGCCCAAGCATATTTCAAGGTGTCACCTATCAGACCAATGGAGCCAGCAGGACATGCAGACAAGCGCCACTGAAGAAAAAGCGACCAAGGCTAGAGGGAGAAAGCAAACCACTATGTCCCTAACCAAACCTCCTAACTACGAAAGGCTCCCCTCTTGGGCAAAAATTGTCTCCGCAACGGCTCCCGCCCAACCACCAGCTCAGGGAAGATGCAAGGCTTGCCTTTGGCGTTTGCCCCTGGTGGTTTGGTGTGGTGGTTTCGACGCCAGGGACCTTCCATATTAAACCACCAGCGCGCCAATCCAAACCAGCTCAGGGCAATCTGACAAACCTCTTCGCAAGAATCTCCAAACAGACCCGGGCCACAGGGCCCCTCCCCAGACAAGTTTCCGGCCCCTTTTCTCAGCTTCAAAAGCAGCGCTCTTGGGCCCAAGAAAAGCGCCGAGCCGCCGAATCTCTCCCTCTGATGACCCTCTGTTCTGACCTTTCCGCGCGGAGAATGGCGCCAAAGTGGTCGATTCATCTGAAACCGTGCAGGGGGGCCCCCCAAGCCTCTGAGCCTTAGCGGCGGTTTTTCATGTTGGAGGTGTTCGGGGCGGGAACCAAGAACCCACATGAACCAGCTGGGTGTGTGTGTTTCTCAGACTACCCATGTTTTGTGTGTTTGAAAGGAAACCCCAGAGTACCTTTTTCACATTTTGGGGCACGTGAGAAAGGTCCAAGCGACCACTGAGCCGGCGGCAGTGTGGCTGATCTGGCATCAGCCTCGCCTGCGGCTGTGGAAACTGAAAGGTCGCTACATGCAAAACTGCTGAAAGAGTGCCCAAAACAAACGGGTTAAGTCCAGTTGGAATCCGCAAAGTTATGCTTGAATGATATGAAAAGCACAGGCGACCCGCTATGGGTTCCAACAGATGCGTTGCGGGCTGCTACACACATGCTTGTCGCGTCCACCGGAACATGTCTTGTAGAAGTGGTTGCTGGGCAACTGATGAGGATTGGAGAAGAACGTGTAGTTCGCCTCAGGCAAGGAACCTCGCCTTCACCTCGAACTGGCTTCTAATGCCTGCGCTTGCTAGCTTCCCAAGCAAACCTTGCTCCATTGTTCACTTGTTCGCTCGAACGCTTGCTTGCCCGTCTGCCTGCCTGCCTACCTGCCTACTTGCTTCCTTCCTTGAACTGCTTCCTCGTCCTGCTTTATTGCCTCCTTGCTCCTTGCTTGGCCCACCTTCCTTTCTGGCCTAGACCTTGCATCCTTGCATCCATGCCGGTTTTTTGCCGCATATCCTGGCGGAGCGCATCTGTCCTAAACCCTTTCACACCCCCGTTATTGTCCCTCCAAATCCCGCTCGTTGAATCAACAGGCCCCTTTGAGCCGAGGAAGTCCTTGCAGGGTCACGAAGTAGTGCCTTCAAGCCAAGGAAAGAATCCATGTCAAGAAACCCGTGACTTGGACCGCGGGAAAGTCCACGCTTTTTGCTGTCATCGGTTTGGTCCAATGATGCCTCAAAACTTTAAACATCACTCCCCCCGGCCAAAGGAGACTCGCTTTTATTGCCAACATACGAGTGATGTCTAACACCAGAAGGGAGCAAAGGTGAGCCAAGTCAAAGGTACCGCACCCAATTTTGCACCGCGCCAGGCGCTCAGTCAATGTCGTTGATGGGCTACTGAGCACATGGCAAATGCGCACTTGGGGTGTGGCAGTGATCGCGGAAGCCACGCTCGACATGAAACCCAAAGGAATGGCTGGGGTTCCATGTTCGAGCGCTCTGTTTTTGCTCAAGTCCACTTGTTCAGGCGTGGATGTCCGGCTCAGTAAGGCCAAAGGAAGCACGAAATGGCCTTTTCTGGCCTGGACGGACGGACCCGGCAAATGACACTGGTATTGCCAGTGAATTTCACTGCCATTGACAGTGGTATGAAATGTCACTGATATTTATTGCCAGCGGTCGGTCTCTCCGGCAGAGACAGCGCCAAACTGTGCTGCCCCGCGGGAAAGCCGCGAGCTGAGGTGAGACAATGTCTTCAATTGGCATCAACCACGACTGGTGCTTCAAGTTTGACATGGCCCCCAAAAAAGCGATCCCCCAACTCTGCTGAGATTTTGGCCAAATGAAGCGGGACCGGATTGTGCAGCCATGCTGTCACTTGGGCGATGGAATGAGGGAAATGGCAGCGTGTCGAAATTGGGGAAAAAAGGCTCCCCAACATCAAAAGGAGAAGCCTTCCTCCCCATTTCGACACGTAATCAAGTGGGGCCAATCGGAGAGACTGCGTCCGCACTTGACACGCCGTTCTGTGCCACCCAGCCCGCTCTAGGACTCTAGGCGCTGGCCGGGTACGATCTGGAGCAGCTTCGCGGCAAGCGCAAAAGGGGAGGCCTCCAGAAAGAACCAGTTGTTGGAACTGGTGTTTCAAAAGGGGAACCTTTAAACCAAGGTGAAGGGGTACCCTCAAAATGAACGCGCCCATACTATGATCAAGATCAACCAACGCCAGACTCATACTTTCTTCGGCAACTAAAAGGTGATGTAAAGCCACAACAAGTAGAAGCATAGGACTCCTGCATGCACGCCCCCTGCAGTAGGAGGGAATGGATCCTTGATGCTAGTTTCCGAAACAGTGACAGAGTTTTTCGGGGGTCCAGGAAGACTCCTCGTTTGGCTTGCGGCAGAGTCTCGGGATTGGCGACCGCTCCGGAAAAAACGTGGGAAGTGAGGCCGCTTAGGGCCCCATGGAAGGATGCAATCAAAACCTGGCGCAACATCTACCCGAAACCCAAAACGAACCACAGCGAGCATCCGTGAATCCATGGCTGCCTGATCCATCCAGGTTTTGATCGAGGTGAAGGAATTTCTTGCTTCCGCATTCGTGAAAGCCAGGACCTGAGCCTTGACCCCTGAACAACTTGACCAACTTACCTTTGGTGTTTCTAACCCAAAAAGTGCTATCCCCTGTACATCTCTCCCGACTGAATCTCCTTCGCTGAAATCCATGAACCCATAAACCAGGGAATGTGTCAACGGAATGTTGGTGTGTGTGTGTGGTGTGTGTGTGTGTGTGTGTGGTGTGTGTGTGTGTGTGTGGTGTGTGTGTGTGTGTGGTGTGTGTGGGTGTGTGTGTGGGTGTTGGTGTGGGTGTGGGTGTGGGTGTGGGTGTTGGTGTTGGTGTTGGTGTTGGTGTTGGTGTTGGTGTTGGTGTTGGTGTTGGTGTTGGTGTTGGTGCGGGTGCGGGTGCGGGTGCGTGTGCGTGTGCGTGTGCGTGTGCGTGTGCGTGTGGGTGTGTGTGTGTGTGTGTGTGTGTGTGTGGGTGTTGGTGTGGGTGTGGGTGTGGGTGTGGGTGTGGGTGTGGGTGTGGGTGTGGGTGTGGGTGTGGGTGTGGGTGTGGGTGTGGGTGTGGGTGTGGGTGTGGGTGTGGGTGTGGGTGTGGGTGTGGGTGTGGGTGTGGGTGTGGGTGTGGGTGTGGGTGTGGGTGTGGGTGTGGGTGTGGGGGTGGGTGTGGGTGTGGGTGTGGGTGTGGGTGTGGGTGTGGG